GACCTGGGACCACAGAGGCGGCAGGAGGCCCCCGTCCATGAGGGCGGCTGGCAGGTCTGGCCTGGGCGGCCGGGCTGAGCAAGGACTCAGCCAGGCTGGCTGAAGGCCAGCTGCCTCTCCCCACCCCGCCTGGACCCCAGGAATACCGCCCCCCCCCCAAGAGGACACGTTGGGCTGACCTGGGTGCCGGGGGTAATGCTCAGGGACCAGTTAAATAAGCAAGTGTGGGTGAGGCTGGGGAGGCAGGAAGCGCCAGGCTTCACCATGTGAGAGGGAAGATCCCGGCGCAAGCCACCACCAGCCCAGGTGAAACCGACGCAATGCTGTCACTAGAAATGAATTACAAATCTAGAGAAAGGGGGGGAAATCCTGAAAGAACCTCGCCCTTCTTAAAGAAGGCATGGCAGCAAAACCCAAACCGATTGTATTTTCTAGGCCACAAACATTTGATCAGACTGCAAATTCACGTGGTGCTCCGCCCCACACCTCTCCTCCCAGACACCCCTCCGTTCCTGCATGACCTGATTGCTACAAATATTGATTACCCATATTTCTGAATATCTTGCTCTCCCATAGCTTGAATCTCCAGGAAAAAAAAATTAATAATGGTGGTAATAAGTACATAAAGAGACAACTTTTTTTTAAAAAAAGGAAGAGAACTGAAATGTCTTTAGATCTGAGTTCTGATTTCCTCTGGAGGAGGATTTCTTCTCACGCTGCCTGTATGAGCCCACGCTCGTCGTGGCTTCTGTCCAGTCCCTGGTTCCCTTCTGCCCCTGGAGGGAGCAACTACTCCTCGGCACCCCCAAGCTCACCCTCCCCAGGCCCCCCACCAGCCCACTGCCTGGTCAGAATGCTGATCTCTTCATGTTCTCCTCCTTAACATTCTTTAGTGGCTACCCATGACCTAGAACAGGGGTTCTACATTTTGGGACATCTGATAAGATCTTCGCTATTTTCACTCCTTGAAAGTAAATCACCCATAAATAATAAATCCTCAGTTACAAATCCTTGGCCTACAGCTAGGTCCCCAGGGGAGTGTGCGTGCACCCCAGGGGTGCCCTAGATGGCCTATGGGATGCAGAAAACAGTAGTAGCACTTCCATTTTTATGTATTCTTAATCTTTAACAAAACTAGAGGATATAAATGGAAAGAAAGTGAACTGATACTGAACATGTGGTTGGTACTGTACACTTGTCTATCTCCACGTAACATTTCAAAATTCAGTCCTTTATGAAGTGCACACTTGGTATTCTTTTCAGCTAGGTGAAAAAAAGTTTACACTCATACCCATTTGCCAGTTATTTTGTGTCGACATAGTTTAAAAAGTTGTCCAGCTAAAAGATGACTTACACACTTTTCCTTTGCAAACGACAAGTTCCCCGAGTCATCTGACCTTTCCGTGACAACTAGGGGCTGCCAGGACCGGCAGATAGTTCCAGAAAAATAAATACTTATACTTGTCTCTTCAAGGTGGAAATGACATTTCAGTGGAAACTAACTGCTTCCTAAATTAATTTGCTATTTTGCAAATGGGTGTGGTAGGCGGCCTTGAACTTGCCCCACCACCACCACCCCCACACCTGCCTCCTACTTTCCACAGTCTTCCCTCCACCTGAGTGTGGGCCAGGCCCAGAGACTCACTTCTGACAAACAGAGCACAGCCGAAGTCACTTCTGAGATCATGTCACAAAAAGACTGATTTCGGCTGCATTTGCTCTCTGTGTGGAGAAGGCCATGGGAAGGAGTCCCTGTTGCTGGCCAACAGCCAGTAGGCTCTGTGGTCTGCAGACCGGCATGCGGATGCGCTTGGAAGCAGGTTCTCCCCCAAATCCAGCCTTGAACTGAGCAGGGCTGACAAGCACTTCCATTGCAGCACTGAGACAAAAAAAACAAAAGCTAAGCCACTCCTGGATTCCCGACCCAAAGAAATTATGATGAGCAAATGTCTATTGTTTTAAGCCACTAATTTGCAAGATAACTTGTTACACAGCAGGAGACCTTGGGAATACTGCTCCATCATTAATAGGCTGATGGCTGAAAATAATGTAAATGTCTTACTTAAAACCAAGAAACAATCAAAACCCTCTCCTATATATATTTTTTAAAATCAGAAACAGAACTTCCTAGCCTATTTTAAACTTTCCCAGATAAAGACTGTGCCTGGATCTGGACCAGCTGCTAGAAATACAAGCTGGAACACCTGAAAAGTTTGCAAGAATGACTTACTGATACCAGAGAAGACGGAAAGCTATTGATTAAATTTCAAGGAAAACCTGAGCAGGATGCTTGAGGTTAAAAAACCAGCGTCATGATTTAGTCCTGCCAGTATTTCTGCAAATGGAACTCTGCCTCCTTGTAAAGTATCTTGTCTTGATTAAACACAGAAATAAAAATAAACTGAACTTAGAACCAGTCCTTTAAATCACTGTCAAAGTATTAAACCAGTATTTTCAAAACTACATGACATTTTCAAACACATTGTTCATTCTAATATTTAACTACTTTTGTGGGAACAAAAATAAAGATGTATCTTTGAAGATTACCCACAATCTTATTTATGTGTATTTGTAAAAGACTAGTGTGATTATACAAGTACATAAAGAAATAAATATCCATATAAATTATTAATTAACCACATATTTAAAGATATTTAAAGAGTATCTCCTCAAGTTATTTTTACTGTCAGGTATATGCAACTGAAAATATTTATACAACCCCCCCGCCCCAAAATTTTTAACCCCCTGACCTCAAAGATCAGTCCAAATGCTTTCCACTAGTTTGCACAGCTCCCACCTCCGTTTCTAGTCCTGCACTGCGAGCCACTTGGAATTCTCAAGACACCCTTGAGAGAGCTTAAAAGCACATCCTCCCCGAGAAGGCCTTCCTTCCCACAAGGGCCCTGCCCTGTGGTGTCCACTGCAGAATTCCTGCTCATATTTCAGGCTCAGCTTGCTTGTCCCCACTTGTGTGCTTTCATGGCGCCTTGTGAGCCTGCCAGCTCAGGGCTCACCAGCTATGATATAGTTCACTCACCACCCCAACTGCTTCTACAAATGGTGTCAACAGCAATAGTCAGTTACCAGCTGTAGAACACATGAACATGTGAATTCATATTTTAGCTCACTTTTCTCGGAACTCTCATTTTATCCACAGACTCAACAAGTGGAGAAGGGATTCTCTCTCCATCTCATCCTGGCCAGATATCTGGATACCTCACCACCAAGATTTAATTCAATAGATTTTTTTTTTCAAAGGAATTTTTAAACTGACGTAAGGACCACAACCAGCACTTCTGAGATCTCTGCAGTACTGTGTAAGCAGCACTGTCCTGTGGCAAGGAGCCAGACTACCTCAGTTTAAACCAACCCTGCCTCTTGGGCCCCTTAAGTAGCCTCATTGTGCCTCAGTTTCCTCATCTGGCAACTGGGGAGATAATTAATGTATACTTAGGTGGCACAGAATAAAGGTTCAATATATGTTGGCTATTAGCCTGTTGCCTCTGTGCGGAGACACTAAGCGTGCAAGGAACAGGTGCTGAGTAAATGCCCCACGTGAGCACCCAACCAGCACGGGCACACGTGGCTCACAGGTGGAGGGAGCACAGACGGGCAGGGCTCCTCTCCACTTTGTTTTTCTTGCTGTAGCCCCAGTGCCTGGCGCACAGTAGGTTGCTTAAATAACGTTTGTAGATTTATTTCAGAATTCCCTATACATTCCTGCCCTGTACAAATTTGAATTCACACTGTGGTTCAGAGCACCCTTCTGGAAGCATTCTCAGTGTATCTATTGTCAGAAGCAGGATGTGAGGAAATGTGGCTGATGTTGCAGGAAAAGCTGAAAAGGAGACAGGAGGAAATTACAGTTCAATAGGGACCAAACGTCTATCGGTAATTTAATGGGAAATGATTCACTAGAGCAGTATTTACATAGAAATACAAAATGTTCCAGTGGTTCAGAAATAAAAGGTTTATTTAAAAACAAGCAAACAAAAAACAACCTTGGCAAATTCTATGGTAGTATAAAAACTGCTACAATTAAATTAATTCTATTTTAAGATTGCAAATGACAAATTTGCAAATATCAAGGTGGTTACTTAGCATAAGATAATAATTTAGTGGGTTCCCATAAATAAGAAAGTTAGAGGTTTGTCTCGGGGACTTATAAACTTTCATCAGGTGGGCACTTCACTCCATCTGCCCCTTTACATCTGCACATACATCCACCCTCTTTCTGGCTCCTGACCTCCCTCTCTGGCTTTTGATTGTCCCATACAACAGGTAAGTTTTCTTCATTTGCCAGAGAAAAAAAGGGCAAAGCCACCCCACCTCCAGGCATCCATTATTCCAGCTCACTGGCCAGAGGTGGGGAGTTTCTCTTTCCTCTTGGGTCCCTGAAGGGCGGAAAGGAAAGCACCACAAGCCAAACAATATCCACTGGCCACACCCAGAGGAAAACACCCTGATTTCTACTCGGACACACAGACCACCCCCACTTTCTCACAGCTTTTGCGTAGTATCCTGTCTCATATGTTTTCATTGGACATTTTATCATAAGGGTTTTATCTGTTGATCCATGGACTTTATAATGATCAGTTGTGTCTTTATATGAAATAATGATGCAATAATTTACTTATGTCCTTAAAGATTAACATTCCAAATGTTGCTGATTTTAAAATATAGTAATTATTCTCTTCTTACAGTCTGTTACTTTTTTTAAAAGTATTTTTCTTAAAATAATTGCCAGAAATTGGATTAATGAATGAAATGGAGAGAACATTTACATAGCACTAGTTCTTACGATACATAACCAAACACATGCTCAAAAAGTTGCCCCAATTTTCAGTGTCCCCAGAACTGGTCACCTACCACGGCCCCACCATGTCTTCAGCAGCACAGAGTACTATGTGCAGATAAACTTCTATTTGTGATGGTCCCTAAATATTCTCACCAGTTCACAATGGCCTCATCAGTCCTACTCCACGCATACCCTGACTCACCTGAGAGAACGTATGTGTGACCGGCTGGCACTGTCCCTAGCACGTGATGGACGCCCACTGAAAGCCAGTAACCCTCCAGCTGGGTCAGTGACGCTCTGCTTGGTGCTTCTAGGGAAGACCACCTGTGAAATGTTGGCTTTGAGCAAAACAGTATAGAACAAAGATAAGCCAAAATATGCTTCTAGGGCATTTCTACAAAAAACTGTACAGAAGAGGAAGGACTTACCTTTTTATCTGTCTACTCATGTGAGCTTCTCGTATCTATTTTGGCAAACAGAACCATCTGAAGGAGTATTGGCACGGAAACCTACTGGCATTATCAACGCCCCTCCTCTAAGAGTATTTTTGTTTAAAGAGCAACCAAGCCCACATTGATCAACGGCATGCGTCAACGCCCTGGCTGCTTCCCTAATGACCTGCAGAGCATTTTTTTAAAGCAAATGTCTGGGCCCCACCCTAAGTCCTCCAACGTGAGAATGCCCACGGGTGGAGACAGGTGCTTGCAACTTTTTAAATCTCCGCAGGTGATTCTGACGTGGACCCATGATGGGAACCAGTAAATCAATGGCAATGAGGGCTGCATAGGGTCAGTCATTCTTGGTCCTTCACTTTAGGTTGGAAACAAACTTCATCAGGCTGTTCTTGCTCCTTTCCCTCTCACGTCTCATGCAGACCAGTCTGCGGCAGAAGCACTCCCTCTGGGAGTCTGCTGTGCATGGCCCCTCCACCTACCCTCTGTGCATCAGCCTCTGGCCCTCCAGCAGGTGGCCTTTGCTTCTGTAGGCTGCCAGGGGCTGCAAGCAGAATGTTCAGGGTCTCCCTGAAGGACGAGCAGGTCCCAGGGGCTAACAGATCACTGCCACATTTTCCAGAATTCACCCAATGCCAGGGTTCCACTCTGAACCTCCTAGTTTCCAGGAAAAGGTGCCATTGCTGGGGCTCCTTCCTACCAGTAGCTGTCTGTTTCCACATCGCACCTTCCTTCCTAGACCACACGCTTGCTGAGGGGAAGCTCTCACATACCCTGTACGGCTTGTAAGCCACGGAGCCTCTCACTTAGCAGACAGAAGGTAGCCCAGAGCTGGCAAGCGTGAGGGAAGAGCTGACGTGCCCTCCACACCTGCCCCACGCTGAACACCTGGGAGGCTGTCAGTACATTACCCATACCACCTGTGTCACACCCCCGGGAAGCAGGGTTTAACATTCCCAATTTGCAGGCAAGAACAGAAATTATCATCCCATGACATTCTCTGTCCAAGACTGTTTTTAGGCAGGAACATAAAAGAGTATGAATTTATTCCCCTTTTTTGATCTGCTGCCTGGTTTTCTTGATACAGTTCACCCTCAGCTCACAGCTAAGCCTGCACACCCCTTGTGTGACAGATGTATGGTCACCGAGAGATGTTGGAAATGATCAAACAGATGAGGTCTAGCCCAGACAGAGGCCCGTTCTCTCTCTGCATTGTTCATTACCATAAGATCTTGGTTTCCAAATCGGATTATGCCATTGGGCTGGGCCCTGAAGATTCCGTTAGGGCCACGGCTGAGCCATTTTTAGGTGATGAGCTTTAACATCCAAGGAGGGAGACACCCTGAACCCCCAAACTTGTGCCATGGGGCTGCTGGAACGCTCAGCATAGGGAGTTCTAGAACGTTCCATAACAGGGCTTATGACTTGAAACAGAATCATATTTGAAGCTTCTTCGGAAATGGCTTGTGCCGTCCTGGACTGTGCGCTGTTAAGCCGCACTCACCCAGACAGCTGAAGGAAAAGGAAAGGGCCATTCCCCACTGCTTCCGCCTTCACTGAGGAGCCTTCAAGGTCACCCTGGGGCTGGACCCCCGAGGGCAGAGTGCACCACAGGCAAATATTTCCCCAGCCTGAAAAAAATCACTGGTGGGCAGATGCAGAGGCAGGGAGAGCTTCCTACAGACTCAGAATTCGGTGCTCAGTTCCCCAAGGGCCCTGAGTCACTTCCCTGAGGAAGCGGCTTGGTTTATACAAACCCCAGGGAGAATCCCATCAGGGTGCAACATCAGTGGGCAAGTATAGAAAATGCTGAGCGCTTCACTACGAGCAAGCCACCTTGCTCATTCAAAATCTGAGGTCATAAACCTTACAGCTGTCACTCTTACCTTTTGCAAATGAGGAAGCAGATGCTCAGAGGGGTTAAGTGACTTGCCAGCAATCACACGGCTACCAAGTAGCAAAACTGTGGCTTACAGGCAGTTCTCCAGAACTTAATTCAGTGTTCAGTTTATAGGAGGGAAACAGGGAACGAGAAGGCTGAAATTTAACTTTGTTCTAAAACAAAATGATTTATCATCTAAGGAATAACATAACTGAAGATGCACAGAGATGAGAGTAGACAGAAAGATGCAGTTTTTCTGCTTTAAAAGAGATTCTCAGGCAGGAGGAGTAAGTAGGCAGTAAAAGCCCACTCTTCGGTTTGCAGCTGGTTATCATAGGAAAGTTTGTTGACTTCTGTGAATCTGACATTTTTTCATCTGTAAAATGGACCTACTCACTGGGTTATTATAGGATTTAAATGAAATGATTCAGATAAACTAGCTGTATTCCTAGGTAGGTGCTCAGTAAATATTACTTTCCTTCCTTGAAACGGCTCTAAGTTAACCATTATTCTTATCTAGTCACTAAAGAGCCCTCCCAACAACCTTTAATTGATGGATTTGGGGCCTGTTGCTGTGTTTATTTGCTTATTTGTTTATTTTCTGCTTTCTCCCTCTAGGATGTCAGCTCAGAGGACAAGTCTGTTTCTGTCCTGATCCCCTTTTTATCCCCATTTCCTGGCACAGGGCCTAACCTATAATGACAATTTTTTTAAAAATAGGCAAATAACATAAGATAATTTAAAATTTCATAGGGAGAAGTGAAACTGCTTTTCCTCACTATTACTTTTTTAAGGTAATATTTTATTAATTCCTTTGTCCTAAATATATCCTATGTAAAGAATATGGTTATATGTANACACAAATATATTCAATGCAGTATGTACTAGTAGTTATAATGTGTGTACTAATAAGTTGTATGTTATATGTAATATAATGTATACTAATGACATATGTAGCATGTGTATATAATACATGTAATATATGTATAATAAACTTTATTTAGATATCAAAACAAGGGATATACAAAATATGAGAGAGTATCTGCCATTGGAGGGGGTAAAAGAATAAATACTTGATTCCCCAGCAGACAGGATGACCGTCAGCAGAATCCCAGACACCTGACTCCAGAAGAGCCACAGAGTCACTGCTAACAGAGCAGTCACTCCCCAGAGGAGGGGTCACAAAACATTCTTCCGGCAAACACTGCATTTGTGAGCCACTGCCCTATTATAACAAGATGCTGTGTTGGCCAGCTTTCAATAGATATGTCATTAATAACCCCAAAATCTCAGTGGCTTTTCAACCTGTATTGGCTGTGGCCCTTCTCCACACCTTCTTCATCCAGAATGCACACACGCCAGGCCTTGCGGGGACGAGGGCCAAGCTTCTGCCCAGACGGGCACGTAGCTTCTCTCCTCTGGCAGAGCAAATCTCAGGGCCAAGCGACACCAGAGGCAGGCAATCCCAGAGAGGCCCTGGGAGTCACCCAGCTACTCGCCGGCATACGTGGAACTTGTAAGAGGGGCAGGGACTGTGAGCGATGAGACAGTGTTCTGCAGGTGCACGATCTCTGCTTCAACAGGGTTTCGGTTCTGGTTTCTGACAAACACACGAACACTTGCTTTCTATCATTTATGTAAAGTATTTTTTCACAGGCTGCTGGAGAAAGTATTTTAAAATGCCCTGAAGTGCCCAGAAAACCTACCATCCATTTTGGAGGGAAATGCAATCAATAATAAACGGTCATAACCCATCCTAATATGCTGAGGCTCTTCCAAAGATTATGGCACGTCTAACTGGTCTGCATATTTCCACTCTGATCCAGAGGTCAGCTGTGTAATAGCAATACTTCAAAAGAAACAAGTGGCATCCGTGCCCAGACTGTGTTCCTTTTGTTCGGCAATGGTTTGGAGTTTTCCCACTGTGGGTGCTAACATCAAAGTAGAAGGAAATTCCATCAGCAGAGCCTGCGCTTGACTAATCCTGTTGTTGCCATGTTGAAATTCTCCATAATTTTGAAGAAGTGATTGACATTTTCATTTGCACGGACTCCGCCAATCATATAGCCAGTTCTGCTCAGAACAGACGTTCCCTCCCCTGGAACAATTTCTCGGACCCCTCCCAGAAAGCCAGGTGCCCCTCCTGGATGCCCTCAGAAGGCCCTGCAGTTACAGCCCTTGATACCCTGTACTGGAATTTTCAAACATACTGTCTTTGCTTCTGGCCTGGGGGTTCTTTGAAAGCAGGAATAATGACTAACTCATCATTACATTTCTAGCATCTACTACCCAAAGAACATCTGACAAGTGATAATCAGACATGGAGGCACCTTCTTAAAATTTCCAATTTTGTGTAACTTTTTCTTCTGCAAAAAAACTGCTCAATCCTGCCATGTGCTTCTTGCCAGATATTGCCAAGTAAACTGAAAGCAGCAGAGAGCCATTTATACTCCCTCAGACTAGGACACAAGCCTCCAGCTGGAACCTCACATCACTAGACCCTTCCCCCAGATTCACTTTTTTCTTCCAACACAGGAAATCATATGCAGTAGGTTCACTGATGTCTAATGCTTCAAGTTTCTGACTAGTGTCCACAGGGTTAGAAACAAATGCAAATTACCACACTTTAGAAACAGGAAAAATGAAAGATTTACAGAGTGCATTTTTCCAATCCTACACAAGAATGAAGGAGTCTATTTTCTATTAATAAGGTTGTTCTGATGCACAAGGACTAAGTACAGAATAAACTTCAACAAGCCATAGAAGGACCCACATCTCTATATGCTCTTATTTTTTTCACCAGTTTTACTGAGAAATAATTGGCATACATCACTACATAAGCTTAATGCTTTGATTTATAAAAATTGTGAATTGATTACAATAGTTCAGCTAACATTTATCTTCTCATACAGATACATAAAAAAATAAGGAAAAAAAGTTTCTCCTTGTGAGAACTCTTTCCTGTATATACACAGCTGTGTGAGGGGCAGTAACTATGCCACACAGTATAACCCTAGGACTGATTTATCTTATAACTGGCATTGTAACTTTGGACCATCTTCCTCCAGTTGTCCCTCCCTGCATCCCCTGCCCCTGGTAACTACAAGCCTGACGTCTTTGCCTATGGACTTGATTTTTTGTTTGTTTTGAAGTTTGGTTTGGGCTTTTAGATCCCACATATAAGTGAGATTATACAATATTTGTCTTTCTGACTTATTTCACTTAATATAATGCCTTCAAGGCCCTTCCATGTTGTCACAAATGGTAGGATCTCCTCGTTTTTACAGCTGAATAATATTCCATTATACACATATACCCAACTTCTTTATCCATTCATCCACTGATAGAAGCCTAGGTTGTGTCCATGTCTCACCTATTATAAATGCTGCTGCTGTGAAGGTGGGGGTGATATCTTTTCAAGTTAGTGTTTTCATTCCCTTTGAATACATTCCCAGAAGCAGAATTGCTGGATCATATTTTCTATAGAAAAGTTCTATTTTTAATTTTTCGAGGAACCTCCATACTGTTTTCCATAGTGGCAGCACCAATTCACAACCTCACCAACAGCGCACAAGGTTCCCTTTTCTCCACATCCACCCCAGCATGTTACCTCTTATCTTTTTGGTGATGATCATTCTCACAGGCATGAAGCGACATCTCATTGTGGTTTTAATTTGTAGTCATTTCCCCCTGATGACTAATGATGTTGAGCATCTTCTCTTGTACCTCTTGGCCTTTTGTATATCTTTTTTGAAGAAATGTGTATTCAGTTCTTTTGCCCATTTTTAACTGTGTTTTTTGTTTTTTGTTTTTGCTGTTGAGTTGCATGAGTTACACGTTGCATATTAACCCCTTAGGAGATACATGAGTTGCAAATATTTTTTCCTGTTCCATAGGTTTTCTTTTCCCTTTGCTGATGGTTTCCACTGCTGTGAAGAATTCTTTTAATTTGATGTCGTCCCAATTGGTTATTTTTTATGTTGTTGCTTGTGCTTTTGTGTCATGTCCAAAAGATCATGACCAAGATGCACATCAGGGAGTTTCTTCCTATGTTTTCTCCAAGGAGTTTCTGGTTTCAGGTCTTACATTTGTTAATCCATTTTTAGCTAATTTTTGTGAGTGATGTAAGGTATGGATCCAGTTTCATTCTTTCACATGTGACTATCCAGTTATCCCAGCACCATTTATTAAGGAGATTGTCTTTTCTTCATTCAGTATTCTTGGCTCCCTTGAAAAATATTAGCTGACCATATACCCTTGGGTTTATTTCTGGGCTCTCAATCTGTTTCTTTGATCTATTTGTCTGTTCTCATGCCTGTACCATATTGTTTTGATGGTTATAGCTTGTGAGATAACTTGTGCTTTGTTCTTCTTTCTCAGGATTTCTTTGGCTGTTCAGTGTCTTTTGTGGTTCCATATAAATTTTAGGAGTGTTTCCTCTACTTCTGTAAAAAACACCATTGGAATCTGGGAAGGGATTGCATTGAATCTAGATATGGCTTTTGATAGTAATGACATTTTAACAATATTAATTCTTCCAATCCATGAACATGGAATGTATTCCCACTTATTTCTGTCTTCAATTTCTCTCATCAATGCCTTGTGGTTCTCAGTGTGGAAATTTATCACCTCCTTAGCTAAATCTCTTCCTAAGTATTTTATTATTTTTGATGCTATTGTAAATAGGATCAATTTCTTCATTCTTTTTCAGAAATATTGTTAGTGTACTGAAACACTATTGATTTTTATAAGCAAATTTTGTATCTTATAATAACTTTACTGAATTCATTGATTAAATCTAAGTTTCTTGGTTGAATTTTTAGTGTTTTCTATATATAAAATCATGTCATCTGCAAATAGAGACTGTTTTACTTCTTCTTTTCCAATCCCAATACCTTTGTTTCTTTTTTTTGTCTGATTGCTCTAGCAAGGGCTTCCAGAGTGACGGTGAACAGGAGCAGCGAGGGTAGGCGAGGGTGGGCACCCTTGTTTTGTTCCTGATCTTAGAAGAAAACTTTCAGACTTTCACCACTGAGTATAATATTAGCTGTAACCCTGTCATACATGGCCTTTGTTATGTTGAGATAAATTCCTCCTTTGCTGAATTTGTTAAGTGTTTAATTATGAACAGATGTTGAATTTGGTCAAATGCTTCTTCTCTAACGGTGGCCTTTTTTTGGTTCTGGTATCAGGATAATGCTGCCCTCATAAAATTAGTTTGGGAGTTCCTCCTGCTTGATTTTCGTTCCCTCCTTTTAGTTTGAGTTTCTGTGCATGTCTGCTGGTAATGTCCTTGGGGTGGGACCTGATTTTATGGTCTATTTTGAGGCGAGGCAATTGCTCGAGCTCTGAGGACAGGGATGCGGGGATGGGGCAGTGCCTCTGGCCGGATGGGACTGCTGGCTCGGTTGCCTACCCAAGTGAGTCTGTATGATAGGCCCCACATTTGCCTGGATTCCCCGGTCAGGCTCACTAGATGGCTGCGACTGGGGATCATATTCAGTAGTAGCTGGGGCTATGAATCAGCTTCCCTGCACCGACAGGGCGGCGGGATGGGACCTAGATCCTGTACAGCTCATTGTTTGGGGACCTGAATCAGGACAGAGTGTGCACTGAATTCCCTGGTCACGTGAGGCCATCAGGTTTTCCCCACGGACAGGGAAAGCCAGGGGCTGTGCTCTGTGTACTGCTGAACCGGCTGTTCAACTTCCTGTGTGCTCTGGTTAGGTCCCCTGGCCAGCATGCTGAAAGCTGGATTCAGGGACGAATGGGCTGTGAATTAGACTCACTGCCTGGGCACAGTAGGAGAAGCATCTCTGAAGCTGGTAAAGCTCTTATTTGCTGAGCTGCACCCCAAGTTCCTTGGACGAACAGGGCCAGGGGCTTGGCTTTGCAAACTATTGGCTGTGCCTGCCCTTGTCTAGACTCAAGCAGCACTGGGCCACACAGATTCCAGGAACTGCCTCCAGCGCTCCTGGCCAGCGGAGGCCAGAAGACACTGCCCACAGCAGGTGGGGATACACCTCAGTTCCCTTGCCTGGCGGGATGGGGAGGGCTTCTTTCAGGTTCCCAGCGACTCTGTCCTGGTGGAAGGGGTCAGAAGCTACCCTCACCCTGGCTGTGGAGTAATTCCCCGGCCTGTGCACAGCCCTCCACACCCGTGTCAGCTCTACTTGAGGGACAGTCTGCTCTGCCCTCCTACCTCTCGGCTGCCCCGCCCCAGGCCGCACAGCCTGCAGGAGCTGTTACCAGCACTTCTGATAAAATGGGCCAGAGGACACTCTCTATAGCGGGTGGGGCTGTGACTCCACCCCTTGCCTGGGCATTGGGCAAACCACACAGCTCTAGGGCAGGCAAACCTCCTCATTTGAGGATCCAAATGAGGCAGATCTGCACCCCAACAAGTCCCCTGGTCACATGTGCTCCCGACTCGGTTCTGCAGATAAGCAAAGCCACTGGGTGGGATCACTGCTTGGGTACCGCTGATATGAGCGCAGTGGGCCGGCTGCTGCAAGCCCCGCCCGCCTTCTCCGTCGCAGTCGGAGTCCCAGCGGCCTGGATCCACAGATTCCCCACTGGAGGGACACGAGGCCGAGGGGAGACCTCTCTGCGCATGCGGCGCTGGCCTGGGGGAGGCGCGATACGGTTCCTGGGTGGCAACTTCTCTTACCCTCTAACGCAGCCCGTCCCGGCCTCTGTAGTGCAGGGGGGCTTCAGCCTCACCCCCAAGTTCCAGGACTCTCTCAGTGGGGTCTCGCTCCTGAATAGTTGCTAGTTGTTCTTTTTGTGGGGGCAAGGGGGGAGCCTCAGGAACAACCCAGTTCTTTGGTGCTGTCACTTCCTTCTTATCTTTGAACAAAAACAAATTGGAGCATGTGCCACTTGTGTTTAAAAAAAAAATGCTGGGCAGTTAACCAAAAAACAACTGGGAGAAATGGCAACATCAGCGCCGCTTAGATGGACATACACATCATGGTGAAGCATATAGGCTTGGGGTCCAAACATTCCTGAATTTGAATTCTGACTGCTATTTATTTGCTGAAGTCCTAGTATAAAGTATTATCTTCAAGAAATAAGATACCAATTATTTTTAGAATGTTACACTTAACTTATTTGGGGAGGGTAAGGAGAAAGAGAGGAACCAAAGATCATTTGGAGAGTCTCATGGAAACCATGGCCCTTTGCTCTGGAACACGTCCACGTGTGGATGCGCTCATATTTTGTGCATCACGGCGGACACGGTGGCCCGCAGTGAATCTCAGATTAAGGCCCTCCTGGAGCACTTGAACATAACTCAGGACTTCAGTCCACTCAAGCATTTCAAACAAAATTACTTTCTATTTATATAGTATTTTATAAAATCCTTACTTATACAAGGTTGCATTCAAGCACACCAACTTACTGAAATAAATAGAGGATGCAATGTTCATTTCAGTTTTTATAGCTGAGAAAATTAAGGGCTCGGAGAAGCCAACTGATTTATTCAAGGCCTCTCTGCCAGAACCCCGGTGCTGCTCTTCACCCCGAATCTGGGTCTCCTCTCCATTCTGAGGGGCCGCTCTGCAGGCTCTGGACTCTACCAGTTCATAAAGTGGTCTTTAGCTGGGCCTCTGCGGCCTCGGGTTTAGCTTCTCTGTAGCACAGCACGTTAGTCTACAGAGTAGGCACTCAGCCAATGTTTGCTGGTGATCATACTTCACTGAGCAGCAAATTCTGGTGTTCTTAATACTGTCACTGCTTTACCTGCCTGCAAAGTTGAGATCTGGGGGATTATCTGGTTATTCCAATCAAGGTAGGCACCTAGTAATTGATGCTTTAAGGCATCCATTTTTCTCCCTGAATCACTGAATAGTGAAACCATGGAAAATTAAAGAGCAGTGAACATAAGATGTGCAGTTTTGATGATAGTGTTTTTTAAAAAAAAAAAGTTTTACTATTGAGTTTTCTCTTCTTGTCAAATACTGTTTATGAAGGACACTAAGGGCAACTGGAGAGGAGAACCGCACGGAGAGCAGTCCCCTTGGGTCGGGTCTAGGAGGTTCCTGCTGTGTAGCAGATGCTTCTTATCAGAAAGTTACCAGGCGCCATCTCTTCTTCAAAGGAGAGCCAGACCTCCTTTCACGCACCTGACCTCACTGAGTCACTTACTGACGCCAGGGAGGACATTCCTGGTGTATGTTGACCCCTGTCTCTCCGTTACCAATGGAATCATCATCCCCCAGACACCCAGGCACGAGGACATTCCCCTCTAAAAACACTGACTGGCCGTGGTGAACTGGAGATTAACTGAGTCTACCTAGAGGTTAATTTGGAGACAGGATAAGAGGAATGGATATGAGCAGGGTAGCGGTAGATCACATGGTAAGACTGTGCCTGGCTTTGCAACCAAGTGCCAAAACCTCCCAAAGTGGCTGCTGTGAATCTGCTTCTTAATTAACCATTTATTGTAGACGCATTTCCATATAAATAACTAATACTACATAGTGTCCCAGGGTCTGTATACGCAGCACCTTACTGAACCATTCTCTTAATACTGGGCACCCAGGCCATTTCCCAGTTTTTCTGATTGCAAATAATGCTGTGATAAACATTTTCATACATACACTTTGATTATTTGTCCAATAACATCTGGAAAAGATATGAATTTTAAAAGGCATAAGCACATTTAATTTTGATGGAAGGCTACAGGAAGGTGCCCTCCCATCACAGCAGATAGGAATGTTGTGTCCTCTCTGCCTCACCATCAGTCCCCCTCAGCATTACCAACCCTGCAGATGAAATACTGCATCTGTATGGCTTTGATTACTCAAGAAGTTAAACATCTTTTCACATTTTTTTGGCCATTTGAATTTTTGGGGGAATTGTGTTCATATTCTTCTGCTACAGGCATATAAATTTTTTGCTTTCTAAAACTATTCAGTTTATATCTGGTTTCTAACAGGCAGTTTATTAGAATATGTAACATTCCATTGATTTAACAGCTCCAAAGAGCAAGAGGAAAGACATTACCCCATTAAATAGATACACTAACTTCAGAACGGGTAAAAAATTAAAATAAGGAAATACAGTGTTTCATTGATATGTGTTATTTTTCAAGAAAAAATTAACTTTTATGAGTGGTGATTTTGATTATTTTCTTTTGATTTTGCCACATTAAACTTTTATATCATCAAATTTGTGGCCCGTTTTACTTGAGTTCTCTGGCTTTGTTATCATGCTATAGTCAGAGTATGAGAATAAAATACTTACCTATCTATTCACCTAGCAGTTTAGTGTGTGTTTCTTAACATTAAAATCTTTTATCCATTTTTAATTTTTGTCCACATAAGGTACAATCCCACCTTATTTTTTTCCCAATGGTTAGCAAGTTGTCCTAGTGCCGTTTATAAACTCCATTCTTTGAGCTACTTTATCACATGCTAAATCTTCATATATATTTGGACCAATCTCTGAACTCACCATTTTGTTCCATTTTTCTGTGGCTTTTTGGTGCTAAGACCACACTGTTTTAATTACTGTATCTTTTAATATCTCGAATAACCTCATGACTCACCTCCTGCAGGCCTTTACTCAAATGCCACCTTCACTGTGAGATCTCTCCTGAGTACCCTATTTACAACTGCAGCTTCTGTCTACCCCCAGTCCTGCCCCCACCCTGACACTATCTGGTCTCTGCTTTATTCTTTATGTCACCATCCGGCATCCTATGCAAGCACAGCTCACAGGTATCACAGGTTCGGTTCCAGACCACCAGAAGACAGCAAATACCGCAATAAAGCGAGTCAAACGAATATGTTGGTTTCCCAGTGCATATACAAGTTATAAACGTTTACACTATTTCGTAGTCTGTAAGTGTGCAACAGCATTGTGTCTCAAAAACAATGTACATACCTTAATTTAAGAATACTTTGTTACTAAGCAATCCTAACCACCACCTGACCAGCGAGTCAGTGGTCGTGCTGGTGCTCAGTGCGGGTGGCCGCTGGCTGATCAGGGCAGGGCAGCTGAAGGCCGGGGCGCTGCGGCCATTGCTAAAAACAAGACAACAGGGAGGTCTGCCACACTGATTCTCTTCCTTTCATGAACGGTTATCTCTGGTGTGTGGTGCTGTCTGACAGCATTTCACCCACAGGACAGCTTCTTTCCAAACTGGAGTCAGTCCTCTCAGACCTGCTGCTGCTTTACTGACTAAGCTTATATAATATTTTGAATCCTTTGTTGTCATGTCAACAGTCTTCACCGCATCCTCAGGAGTAGATTCCATCCCAAGAAGCCACTTTCCTTGCTCGTCCGTATGGAGCAGCTCCTCATCTGCTCAGGTTTGATCCTGAGATGCAGGGATTCGGCCCCGTCCTCAGACCCCACTTCCGGGTCTCGCTCTCCCGCTGCTTCCGCCGCATCTGCCGTGACTTCCGCCCCTGAAGCCTGAGCCCCTCGGCGTCCTCCGTGGGGGTTGGAAGCAGCTTCTTCCAAACTCCTGTTCATGTTGGTGTTGTGACCTTTTCCCGTGAATCGTGGGTGTTGGTCGTGGCATCCAGAACGGGGAATCCTTTCCAGAAGGTTTCAGTTAGCGTGGCCCAGATCATCAGAGGAATCCCCGCCTATGGCAGCTCCAGCCTTGTGAAAGTATTTCTTAAATAAGACTTGAGATTGGAAATACTCCTTGATCCGTGGGCTGCAGAATGGGTGTCGGGCAGCAGGCATGAAACAACACCCGTCTCATCGCACATCTCCGCCAGGGCTCCTGGTGACCAGGTGCACCGTCGGTGAGCAGGAATGCTTGGAAAGGACGCTTTCTTCTGAGCAGCAGATCTCAAGAGTGGGCTTAAAATATTGAGTAAATCGTATTGTAAACAGATGTGCTGTCGTCCGGTTTGCTGTTCCATTTCTAGAGCACAGGCAGAGTAGATTTAGCAGAATTCCTAAGGGCCCCAGGATTTTCAGAAGGTCAGTGAGCACTGGCCCCAACTTAAAGTCACCAGCTGCATTAGCCCCGACAAGGGGGTCAGCCTGTCCTTGGAAGCTTGGAAGCCAGGCGCTGACTTCTCCTCTCCAGCTATGAAAGGCATCCTAGATGGCATCTTCTTCCAAAAGAAGGCTGTTTTGTCTACACTGAAAATCTGTCGTTTACTGTGGCCACCTTCACTCATTATCTCAGCTGATCTTCTGGGTGACTTGCTGCAGCTTCTCCGTCAGCACCTGCTGCTTCCCCTGCACTTTTACTTATGGAGACGCCTTCTTTCCTTAAACCTCCTGACCCAGCCTCTGCCAGCTCCCAGCTTTTCTCCTGCAGCCTCCTCCCCTCTCTCAGCCTCCCTGGACTTGAAGAGAGTCAGGGCCTCGCTCTGGATTAGGCTTTGGCTACAGGGACTGTTGGGGCTGGTTTGATCTTCTGCCCAGAACACTGGCACTTTCTCCCCATCAGCAGGAAGGAGGTTTCCCTCTCCTGTCACCCGTGTGCTCACTGAGCAGCACTGTAATTTCCTTCAAGGACTTTTCTTTGTGTCACAACTTGGCTGTTTGGCACAAAAGGCCCAGCTTTCATTTATCTCAGCTTGTGACATGCCTTCCTCACTGGGCTTCATCATTTCCAGCTTTTGATTGAAAGAGAGGGATGTGTGAGCTGTCCTTTCACTGAACACTCAAGAGTCCATCGCAGGGTTACTGATCGGCCTGGTTTCAATGTTGTGTCTCGGGGTAGGGAGGCCTGATGAGGGAGACAGATGGCAGAATATCCAGTCAGCAAAGCAAAACACAACCAGCATTTTCTAATTTTACCAAGTAGACAATTATATCACCCACAGATAGTATAATTTTGCCATCTCCTTTCCAAAGGTATACATCTCTAGTTCACTTTCTCCCTACATCCATTAGCACAGTGAAGTTTTCCAATAGAGTCCCTAAATTTAACCACACTTTAATTTCTGGAAATTAACTCCATTTTTACAGTCAAGGAGAAAAGTTGTTTAAAAAATTTTTTTAATATTTAGATCTGTATAGTATACCAGAAATTTTAATTAAGGTGAATCAAAATATCTGGTATGATACAATCAACATCAGTTGTATGTAATTCATGTAAAAGTCATTTTGAGAAAATACTAATATTTTCTCTTTACTGGATTGTTAATGTAAAATTGGTAAAAAGAAAAAAGACTGAAGTTAGTTTGTGTTTAGGAGGCTAAGTAATTCATTAAATCAGCTACTGCTGAATCTATTTTTTTTAATAAAACAAAACCATGTTCTCCATTGAAAGTTAGAAAACATTAAATCTCCTTATTTCTTTTATATTGCTTTCCATTCACCAATTACTTGTTCAAACACTGAAATAACTAAGTATTTAATTTGCATATTCAACCTCATTGAAATAAGGTTGTATGATCAAGGTTTTATGCCACATCTGTAAACAAGGTTTTCTAGTGAGTTGTATTGGTCTTAATAAAATAAAACAGATTAAGAGTGATGATCCAGTGCCTGTTTCCACAGGTGGACAAATGGGCTCCGGCAGCCCCAGTGTCTTGCCCACGCTCACTGAGTAGGCCACAGAGCCCAGACCTAAGTTCTAATTTTCTACTACTCATCAAATATTATTTCCATAATGCTCTGCCTGTCACTTGGCATTATCTATGTAATTAGAAACTGAAATGTGTTTCCTCACCTACCTAGAAAATTTCCTCAACTGTTACCAATGCATATTTTTCTAGCAGGAAATTATTTCTTATAATTTATATATTCTCAAAATTCACATGTGGCTTTTGATTTTATGGAACCCCTTTCCTGGAGGTTCAAATAATGAATGAAAAGAGTAAATTCTTACAACAGTCCTGTGTGAGGGCAAGAACTGATGAGTCTCCTGTGACATAAATCAACATCCTAATCACTAAAAAAATAGGTGCACTCATTCATAAGTGTCACAAAACACTCCACACTGAATGGGAAGGAATATCTGAGTGAGACAGATAAGAGCCAAGCCTGCAGAGGAAGCACAACAGCCCATTACAAGCTATTGAAAAGTCCCATAGCAAAGACTGACATGGGCAGGAAATTCTTTGGCAGTAGTGTAACTAACCTCTTACGTAAGGACATTGGCAGATAAATGGGTTTTTATGATTTTGCTCACGCCTGCTGCTTACTGCCCCTTCACATGTCACCTTGCAAGTGTGTCACGTCTTCACTCTAACTCTGCTCCAATAAGCTGCAGGCTCCCCTGAAACCCCTCCAGACACACTTGGCCCTTTGCCCCAAAGAGGGGGAAGAGGTTAGTGACTAACGTACCAGAAGAAACTTGCTCTAAGTTAGTCCCAAGAAAAGTACTACATAGAGGATTCAGTGTAGTTACACTGTAATTTACTATAATCAAATATAAGGAATCAGGCAGTGAAAATTTTAATGTGCTGATTAAGGCTGTTACTACGGAACTATAAACATGGTGCTGGGACTAAAAAGTAAATAAAATAAATATGTACTGAACTCAACGCAGGATAAATACTGACCTGGAAGGTTTGCTTACATCATCACATTTCATTTTTACAGCAATGCTGATAAATGACTTATGCTCATTCCACAGGTCAGAAAACTGAGTTTCTAGAAGATGCAGTTATACAATGCACACCCTCCCCTTCCTAGGCAGACTCGATTTAGCAATTCCTGGCTCTACCAATTTCTGCCTACAGCTCACCAGGCAGGTCACTGGACCTCTGAGTGCCTCCCCGTCCTCACGCGTAGGATGGTAGCGATGGCACCTTCTCACAAGGCCACTGCCAGCTCACTTCATGGGCTGCAGAACAAACACCTGGCAGGTACTGCTATTAACATAAGCAAACAAAAGTTAAGCTAATAAGGGAAAGTGATGGGAACTGAGGCCCACACTGTTTTCTGGGACACTTTGTTTTCAAACGCTCGATTATGCAATACTGAGCGGGTTTTCCAGGCAAGGTCTTTCGGTTGAGTATCAGTGAATCATTTCCTTCACATTCAGATGAAAGCTATGCCTGGGTGGGTCAGAGTCCCACCCTGCTTTACCTTAACCATCCACACATTGCAGGTAGGCCAATAATTAGTACTGTACAGAATGTCACTGTAGAAGCCTGAGACTCCCTCCCCACAGATACTTCCAACACAAAAGACAGATTGCTGGGCCGCTGACCTTCTGACACTAGGTCTACAATGACCAGTCCTGTACCAGTAAAGAGAGAGGCAAGAGGGGTCAGGCCAGTGTTTCAATTTTTCTTGTCAACTAAACTTGGTTTTCTTCTGTGGATCTGCAACATAAAAGAAGAAAAAACAGGTAATTCAAGCAACATCTCATGAGAATAGTTTACCAGTTCAAATTTCTTATATATATTTATTATAAAATTAATCAAATGAAAACAATAAGTTTCAAGGAACACAAAAAGTTCTAAATTGAAGGTTATTCGTGATAGTGATACAAATCTTTCATTTCGTTGTTTTGTTTTCACTAATCTGAGACAAATTTGATTCACAAGCAATTGCATATGAGAACATTTGTGTTGGTTGGTCGTTTTGTTTTGTTTTGGTTTTGTGGTGACTGTAGGTTTGGAATGTTTCATTTGTGTTCAGATTTAACAGCTTATATCTGCTTTTCAGTTGAGCAGTTATCCAGAGAGACTTTGTTCAAAAATGTGCACATAAGTTAACTAAACCACTCAACTTAACATCACCATAACTCAAAATTGTCTGGAGTAATGTACAGATAAATTGATTGTTTATCTGGGCAGCTCAAGAGAATTGTTGAAAAACTATTACAAACAATGAGAGAATCCAGTATGGTAAAAAATGTAATATAGAAAAATCAGTAGTCTTCATCCATACAAACAACAAAAAGATAAGATACACTTAATAGTTATTTTTTAAAAGACTAAAACAAATGGAAAAGCATACCTTGTTTTTAGTTTAAAAGACTCAGGATCCTACAATGTCAATTCTTTCAAACTTACTTATAAATATTGGGCATCCTACACCCAATAGTAATTTTGGGGAGATTTTATTTCAAACTAGACAAGTTGATTTTAAAGATCCTTTATAAAACTAAATAAGCAATAAGAGCCAGGAGAAAGCATCTAGGGTAAAATAAAAAGAAGGATGAGGAAGGACTGTTCATACCAATCATCAAAACTGGAAGGGAGGGAGGAGATGTAAGACTTATCACTGTGTCTGCATTGACTACCTCAGAAGAAATTGGCCACACAGGGACAGAATTAGGTGCCTTTTGTGACATTTTCAAACTTTACATCACATGCATGTATAACCCATTAAAAAATTAAAAATAAAATAATTTTAATGCATAGGTGTTAGGTGTTAATGGTATAAATGAAGAGCATGATAATTTTCTGCTCTGCATAATTATGGGAAATACATCAACTGAATTTAAGTATCTGGAATCCATTTATGGATATTAGGTTTACAATCTTAGTTAGGGATTACTTATACCTCCATAACATAAAATAGCTTATCATGTGGAATATTTTAGAAACTTCGTCCTAGAACCTAGGACAATTGAGGCTTCCAAAATCATTTAATATTAAACCATAATGTTCAATGTAGTCATTTTCTTAAGAAAGAAATGAGTTTCTATAACTGCTGCCTCAGAAATACATTAAAATACTATTTTTAATACAAATATATTAATGTCCCCTCTTTTCCACCTCACTAGTATACAAATGTCATGTTACAAATTTAGTGGAATAAATAAGCAATTATCTAATAAATAGTTCTGAGTCTTACATTTAAGCAGAATTACAATGATGTAAACAGGCATAAAATCTACTAAAATCCTTAATATTATCACAGGTACATAGAGATATGCGAGAAAGGTTTGTTGAATAAATACTAACTGCTGGAGATATTTAGTAAGTGGTCTTTTGGGATCCTAATGCCATTAAATGGATTTTAAAACTATGCTAATTGGGAATTTAAGGGTAATTGATATTTTTTAACTTAATTTTGAAAAATTGAAATTATAGGAATTAGGACCAAAAAGGTTTCAATATGAAAGTAGCCAGAAAAGAAAAAAAGCCATATTTTAGAATAAATACAGAGCTTCCACGACTTAGAATGGGGTCATGTACCAATCTGTAAGTTAAAAACCCTTTAAGTTGAAAATGCATTTAATTTAATACACGTCAGCTAAGGAACATCACAGCTCAGCCCAGGCACCTCACACGTGCTCAGAATGCTCACCTGAGCCCACACTGGGCACAGCCGTCTCACACCCAGCCTGTTTAATAATAAAGTGCTGAGTATCATGTAACGCATTGAATCCTGTGCTGAAAGTGAAAATCAGGTGCAGAAAGGCTGGGGGTGCCTCAGCCGTGGGCCCTCGTGGTGGCCTGGCCACCTGGGAGCCGCGGGGCCACCCCCACCCAGCGTCCTGAGGGAGGGTCTGACCGCATGTCACCGGCCCAGGGAGGATCACGACTCAGAGTTCAAAGTACAGTTTCTACCGATTGCATAGCACTTTCACACCACTGCAAAGTCTAAAAATCCTAGGCGAAACCATCGCAAGTTGGGGACCACGCATACAGCAAAGGTATTTTAATTGTTGTCCTGTGGACGCTTGGTCATGCAAGATCCCCAAAATAAATTATTATAAAAGACACATCATTCTTCTCAGCATTATAATAGGAGTAGCGAAAGTCTCTAACAGCAAAATGAAAACAATAAGTTTCAAGGAACACAAAAAGTTCTAAATTGAAGGTTATTCGTGATAGTGATACAAATCTTTCATTTCGTTGTTTTGTTTTCACTAATCTGAGACAAATTTGATTCACAAGCAATTGCATATGAGAACATTTGTGTTGGTTGGTCGTTTTGTTTTGTTTTGGTTTTGTGGTGACTGTAGGTTTGGAATGTTTCATTTGTGTTCAGATTTAACAGCTTATATCTGCTTTTCAGTTGAGCAGTTATCCAGAGAGACTTTGTTCAAAAATGTGCACATAAGTTAACTAAACCACTCAACTTAACATCACCATAACTCAAAATTGTCTGGAGTAATGTACAGATAAATTGATTGTTTATCTGGGCAGCTCAAGAGAATTGTTGAAAAACTATTACAAACAATGAGAGAATCCAGTATGGTAAAAAATGTAATATAGAAAAATCAGTAGTCTTCATCCATACAAACAACAAAAAGATAAGATACACTTAATAGTTATTTTTTAAAAGACTAAAACAAATGGAAAAGCATACCTTGTTTTTAGTTTAAAAGACTCAGGATCCTACAATGTCAATTCTTTCAAACTTACTTATAAATATTGGGCATCCTACACCCAATAGTAATTTTGGGGAGATTTTATTTCAAACTAGACAAGTTGATTTTAAAGATCCTTTATAAAACTAAATAAGCAATAAGAGCCAGGAGAAAGCATCTAGGGTAAAATAAAAAGAAGGATGAGGAAGGACTGTTCATACCAATCATCAAAACTGGAAGGGAGGGAGGAGATGTAAGACTTATCACTGTGTCTGCATTGACTACCTCAGAAGAAATTGGCCACACAGGGACAGAATTAGGTGCCTTTTGTGACATTTTCAAACTTTACATCACATGCATGTATAACCCATTAAAAAATTAAAAATAAAATAATTTTAATGCATAGGTGTTAGGTGTTAATGGTATAAATGAAGAGCAAACATCCTAATCACTAAAAAAATAGGTGCACTCATTCATAAGTGTCACAAAACACTCCACACTGAATGGGAAGGAATATCTGAGTGAGACAGATAAGAGCCAAGCCTGCAGAGGAAGCACAACAGCCCATTACAAGCTATTGAAAAGTCCCATAGCAAAGACTGACATGGGCAGGAAATTCTTCGGCAGTAGTGTAACTAACCTCTTACGTAAGGACATTGGCAGATAAATGGGTTTTTATGATTTTGCTCACGCCTGCTGCTTACTGCCCCTTCACATGTCACCTTGCAAGTGTGTCACGTCTTCACTCTAACTCTGCTCCAATAAGCTGCAGGCTCCCCTGAAACCCCTCCAGACACACTTGGCCCTTTGCCCCAAAGAGGGGGAAGAGGTTAGTGACTAACGTACCAGAAGAAACTTGCTCTAAGTTAGTCCCAAGAAAAGTACTACATAGAGGATTCAGTGTAGTTACACTGTAATTTACTATAATCAAATATAAGGAATCAGGCAGTGAAAATTTTAATGTGCTGATTAAGGCTGTTACTACGGAACTATAAACATGGTGCTGGGACTAAAAAGTAAATAAAATAAATATGTACTGAACTCAACGCAGGATAAATACTGACCTGGAAGGTTTGCTTACATCATCACATTTCATTTTTACAGCAATGCTGATAAATGACTTATGCTCATTCCACAGGTCAGAAAACTGAGTTTCTAGAAGATGCAGTTATACAATGCACACCCTCCCCTTCCCAGGCAGACTCGATTTAGCAATTCCTGGCTCTACCAATTTCTGCCTACAGCTCATCAGGCAGGTCACTGGACCTCTGAGTGCCTCCCCGTCCTCACGCGTAGGATGGTAGCGATGGCACCTTCTCACAAGGCCACTGCCAGCTCACTTCATGGGCTGCAGAACAAACACCTGGCAGGTACTGCTATTAACATAAGCAAACAAAAGTTAAGCTAATAAGGGAAAGTGATGGGAACTGAGGCCCACACTGTTTTCTGGGACACTTTGTTTTCAAACGCTCGATTATGCAATACTGAGCGGGTTTTCCAGGCAAGGTCTTTCGGTTGAGTATCAGTGAATCATTTCCTTCACATTCAGATGAAAGCTATGCCTGGGTGGGTCAGAGTCCCACCCTGCTTTACCTTAACCATCCACACATTGCAGGTAGGCCAATAATTAGTACTGTACAGAATGTCACTGTAGAAGCCTGAGACTCCCTCCCCACAGATACTTCCAACACAAAAGACAGATTGCTGGGCCGCTGACCTTCTGACACTAGGTCTACAATGACCAGTCCTGTACCAGTAAAGAGAGAGGCAAGAGGGGTCAGGCCAGTGTTTCAATTTTTCTTGTCAACTAAACTTGGTTTTCTTCTGTGGATCTGCAACATAAAAGAAGAAAAAACAGGTAATTCAAGCAACTCATGAGAATAGTTTACCAGTTCAAATTTCTTATATATATTTATTATAAAATTAATCAAATGAAAACAATAAGTTTCAAGGAACACAAAAAGTTCTAAATTGAAGGTTATTCGTGATAGTGATACAAATCTTTCATTTCGTTGTTTTGTTTTCACTAATCTGAGACAAATTTGATTCACAAGCAATTGCATATGAGAACATTTGTGTTGGTTGGTCGTTTTGTTTTGTTTTGGTTTTGTGGTGACTGTAGGTTTGGAATGTTTCATTTGTGTTCAGATTTAACAGCTTATATCTGCTTTTCAGTTGAGCAGTTATCCAGAGAGACTTTGTTCAAAAATGTGCACATAAGTTAACTAAACCACTCAACTTAACATCACCATAACTCAAAATTGTCTGGAGTAATGTACAGATAAATTGATTGTTTATCTGGGCAGCTCAAGAGAATTGTTGAAAAACTATTACAAACAATGAGAGAATCCAGTATGGTAAAAAATGTAATATAGAAAAATCAGTAGTCTTCATCCATACAAACAACAAAAAGATAAGATACACTTAATAGTTATTTTTTAAAAGACTAAAACAAATGGAAAAGCATACCTTGTTTTTAGTTTAAAAGACTCAGGATCCTACAATGTCAATTCTTTCAAACTTACTTATAAATATTGGGCATCCTACACCCAATAGTAATTTTGGGGAGATTTTATTTCAAACTAGACAAGTTGATTTTAAAGATCCTTTATAAAACTAAATAAGCAATAAGAGCCAGGAGAAAGCATCTAGGGTAAAATAAAAAGAAGGATGAGGAAGGACTGTTCATACCAATCATCAAAACTGGAAGGGAGGGAGGAGATGTAAGACTTATCACTGTGTCTGCATTGACTACCTCAGAAGAAATTGGCCACACAGGGACAGAATTAGGTGCCTTTTGTGACATTTTCAAACTTTACATCACATGCATGTATAACCCATTAAAAAATTAAAAATAAAATAATTTTAATGCATAGGTGTTAGGTGTTAATGGTATAAATGAAGAGCGTGATAATTTTCTGCTCTGCATAATTATGGGAAATACATCAACTGAATTTAAGTATCTGGAATCCATTTATGGATATTAGGTTTACAATCTTAGTTAGGGATTGCTTATACCTCCATAACATAAAATAGCTTATCATGTGGAATATTTTAGAAACTTCGTCCTAGAACCTAGGACAATTGAGGCTTCCAAAATCATTTAATATTAAACCATAATGTTCAATGTAGTCATTTTCTTAAGAAAGAAATGAGTTTCTATAACTGCTGCCTCAGAAATACATTAAAATACTATTTTTAATACAAATATATTAATGTCCCCTCTTTTCCACCTCACTAGTATACAAATGTCATGTTACAAATTTAGTGGAATAAATAAGCAATTATCTAATAAATAGTTCTGAGTCTTACATTTAAGCAGAATTACAATGATGTAAACAGGCATAAAATCTACTAAAATCCTTAATATTATCACAGGTACATAGAGATATGCGAGAAAGGTTTGTTGAATAAATACTAACTGCTGGAGATATTTAGTAAGTGGTCTTTTGGGATCCTAATGCCATTAAATGGATTTTAAAACTATGCTAATTGGGAATTTAAGGGTAATTGATATTTTTTAACTTAATTTTGAAAAATTGAAATTATAGGAATTAGGACCAAAAAGGTTTCAATATGAAAGTAGCCAGAAAAGAAAAAAAGCCATATTTTAGAATAAATACAGAGCTTCCACGACTTAGAATGGGGTCATGTACCAATCTGTAAGTTAAAAACCCTTTAAGTTGAAAATGCATTTAATTTAATACACGTCAGCTAAGGAACATCACAGCTCAGCCCAGGCACCTCACACGTGCTCAGAATGCTCACCTGAGCCCACACTGGGCACAGCCGTCTCACACCCAGCCTGTTTAATAATAAAGTGCTGAGTATCATGTAACGCATTGAATCCTGTGCTGAAAGTGAAAATCAGGTGCAGAAAGGCTGGGGGTGCCTCAGCCGTGGGCCCTCGTGGTGGCCTGGCCACCTGGGAGCCGCGGGGCCACCCCCACCCAGCGTCCTGAGGGAGGGTCTGACCGCATGTCACCGGCCCAGGGAGGATCACGACTCAGAGTTCAAAGTACAGTTTCTACCGATTGCATAGCACTTTCACACCACTGCAAAGTCTAAAAATCCTAGGCGAAACCATCGCAAGTTGGGGACCACGCATACAGCAAAGGTATTTTAATTGTTGTCCTGTGGACGCTTGGTCATGCAAGATCCCCAAAATAAATTATTATAAAAGACACATCATTCTTCTCAGCATTATAATAGGAGTAGCGAAAGTCTCTAACAGCAATCTAATCTAGTCCATAGAGGGCTGGTTTTGAACAAACTCTGGTAGTTTATATAGCAGAGTACTATGAGCTATTTAAAAGAATAAAGTAGATCTACGTGTTCTGTGCAATGACCGGGACACCCCGTTAGGTTGTAAAGCCGGGAACTGAACCGGGAGCTGTGGAGCCCACCGTGCATGTGGTTCTCAAGCCAGTGTGTAAGGCTGGAACTGCTCGGCCCAGACATCCCTCAAAGGGCCCTTCAGCAGCGCCAAGGGATGGAGTTTGAAGGCTCACACGCCCTCTCTCAGCAGGTCCTGCCCAACGCTGGTGTGTCCTCTGGCGTTGGAAGGTGGGCCCAGTTCTTCAGTCACACATTGCATGAAACTGGCTTCCAGGCTTCCATTTAGGGGCCGTGGTGGTGATAAATACAGTCTTCAAGTGCAAGCCTATCTTCGCTGCAAGAGAAGAGAACCCTCAATCTGTGCCCACGTGGAGGGGCCTCGAGGGCATTATGAGACATGGAATAAGCTGTCCAGAGGGACAACACTGCATAATTCGCTCCTAGGAGGAACCTAAAATGGTCAAATTCTTGCAAAGAATAGAGTGTTGTTGCCAGAGGCAGGAGAGAGAGAGAGAGGAGGGGATGCTGATAACCAGGCAGAAAGCTGCAGTTAAGCAAGATGAAGATGTTCTGGAGATGATCTGCAGGACACTAAGCCCACAGTAACAACACAGTGTTGTACACTTAAAACTCCGCTAAGAGGGTAGATCCCACCAAGTGTTCTTACCACGCAAAATGAAAGTTAGCCTGGCCCTCAGCTCAGGTCCGAGCACACACGGAGAGTGAATCCAGCTTCACGATCAGGGCTGGTGTCCATCTGCCACTCACTCCAGGAGCAAAAAGGCACGTGCGATCCCTGCACCGACTCGCCTCCGCTTTGGTTTCTCTGTTCTGTTTTTCATTTTTACGAGTTTTGCTTTGCCAAGTATATGCAGTTGATTTATTTTCACTGCAGATACTTGCAGTTGATTTAAAAATTTGAGGACATTTCACTTACAGCACACCTCTGTAAAACTCCCCCTTATGTAAGATAACTAAATAGAGGCACATGCTTACCTGTGATGATGACCTAGAGGCGTACTCAGGACACTGGGGCTGCAGGTTGCTTTTGCCAAGAGGGACAGGGGCCCAGAGAACTGGGGTCAGAAGGACACTTTTCACTCTGTGATATTTGTGTATGATCTGAATGTTTTATCATATATAGTGCTACTTTAAAAAAAAACAGACAAGTGAAAAGAAAATACTATATTTAAAAATGCATATAACATCTAATGGTTTAAGATTTCAGACTTGAGTCCATTAAGACTTAAATGTAAAACCTATTAGCCCCCTACTAGCAATGACTCACTCCTCTACCCCAAATCTTAACTTTTGGGGGTTCATAGAATCTTTGAAAATTTATATACAAAAACCCAAGAAAGAAGTCCATGAACCCTAGATTCAAAGCTGTTGTACCATGACATCTATCTGTGGGACTATTGCCTAAAGTGCTTGACATAAATCTATTCATGAAGATATAATAAGAGAGACCCAATATATGGGACATTCTTCAGCACAACCAGCCTAAATTCTGCAAAGATTCAATGCTGTGAAACAAAGCAAAACAAACTATAAATCCAGAGACTAAGAGATATGTGCAAAGTGTGAACCCTTGTCAAACCACGAATTGGACAAAAGGAAAAATCTACAGAAGATACACTTGGGTCCACCAGGGAAACTTGAATATGGATTCCTTATTAGATAACATTATGGAGTGACTGTTTATTTTAAGAATCATGCCTATTAAACAGTGGAGGGGTAAAATGTAATGAGGTGTGCAGCTTACTTTCATAGCTCAAAAATACACATGACAAAATGGTAACAATTGGTAAATCTATTATGGGATATATGGGTACTCACTGTACTGTTTTTCCAACTTCTCTGTGAGTCTGAAATTTTTCAATGTAAAAAATGAAGGGAAAAAGTCCCTTCCACTTACCTAATTCTAACACAGCACCAGCATGTAATCTCCCCTCCCTCCTACCTACCCACTTAGCTTCCTGTCTCTGTCTTGCTGAAATGGATTGTTAGACTGTCAAAAAACCCAGCACTCGATTCATTTCTTCTAAAACTATTATGAGGCATTGACAGTGTCCCACCTGAGCCCACACTTCCTTGGCCTGTTGGCTGACCTGTGAGCTTGGTGAGGTCAGGAACTATGTTTCCTCATCTTTATAACCCCAGTGATGAAACATGATAAGAAAAGGCAGTAAATGTGAATCGAGCTGAGGCTTGGGACCAGCTCACTGATCTTTAGTGCCTATCGTGTTACTCTTTAGCAAGGTGGCTAACAGATTTCATGGAAGGATGGAAAAAATGTGAGAACCAAATCACTGAAATGAAATCGTAGGGCCGCCTCTCCCTCTGAGTCTGGATAAAAGAGCCTTGCTTATAGCAGCTCTGTGCCACATGGGCAGAGAGCGGAGGCACAGGCATGTGCGAGTGGGGCAGTGTTGGGGCTGAGCGCCACCGCTGTGCCAGCCCCTGGCTTCACCTCCACCTGTAATACTGCCTGGGCGCTTTCTGCAGTGACAGGGAACAGAACCTGCCACTGGCAGCAGCGCCGTCCTTAGAGTAAATAAAACACTTCAAGCAAACTGAAAACGAAGTGACTGGAGGTGCCACAGACGGAACCCACGCCGGGGGCAGGAGGGAAGGCCCTGTCGCTCCTGGTTCTGCGGCCCAGGGATGCAGCCAACTCTGAAAGGCCAGCAAGGGAACCGCTGACTGTCACCATGTGCGCAGAGCAGGCCGGCTGGACTGGATTCACGTCTGGGAAACAGCAGCGACCCGGGCTCTCTGCTGCATGTCTTCGCCTCCATCCGATCAAACCATCCACTGCAACCACATCTCACGTTCACAAAGGCATCCTACTGACTTCACTTATTGCCCATTTGCTTCCCCTTCCTTCTCTGGTGTCTCCTTTTCTCTTCAGAGATGTCCTAGGGAGGAAGCACGTGGCTTTCAACCGGGGACACCTCAGCTCCACAGACCTCTCTGCAATGGTCGCTCTGTTCACAGTAAGGATTGGGAGACCCACTGCACAGTGATCGGTAAAAACAGGAGTGAATTAAGTAAAAGGATCGCTGAGAGTACCGTGAACGCCCAGGCAGCCTGAGGACCTTTTCTCTCTAGAAAAAGGGCGCAGGGCGAGCGCAGGCTGCCTGCCCTCAGGAAGTTGCTTATTCCTTTGCAGCCACAGTTTCCGTTCTCTCTATTAGTCCAGGAAGACACCAGAGGAGAATGAAAGATGGAAGGAAAGTTTACAAAAACAGAGGATGGAAAGCCAGTTCTTTCCAAGCAGCGCTCGGCCAAGAGCCTGGCCTGTCGAGGTCGCGGGAGATTCCCGGTCGCCTGTGCGGGAGATCTACCCACCTGGCTCTGGATAAAGTGTGTGTGGTTCTCCCGGCGGATGTGTGAGCCGCCGCATGACCACCCTGCTCTCCGTCGCCGTGCTGAGCCCGGGAAGGTGCTCCGATCCACCATCCAGCTCCTCACCAAGGCCTAACTCTTGACCTGGCCACCGAAAACAGTGACACGTCTCCACTGCCTAAACAGTCTCAGCTCCCACCTCCTTCCAATGTGAGAGTCCAGGGAAATCTATACTCTTGATAAGCCTTTTCACACACACAAAAACAGAACTTGTTTGTAGCTGGGGTAATGGCAGAGCACACCAGCCCAACACAGAGCCTGGGAAATACGCTACCTCGCCCGCCTCCTTTATCTCCTTTCTTCTGCATCTTTCTGCCCTTTTGACCCTCCCACACCCTATGTTGGTGTCGACTGGCAGCTGCCACAGGCACCTGATGAAAACCATCTCTGCCTCCTGGAGCCAAGACTAGCAGCTCCTGTCTCCTTTCCACTCATCTGTCAGGTCAGTGGTCAGTGAGGTTTAGCCCAAACTCGTCCTCAGAGAACCACTAGTTCCACGTGCTCTGATGCTCACCGAGCGGTGCTCTGTCCTGGGTGGGAGCGTAGAGAAGGAAGCCTAGTCCTGGCATGCGAGAGGCCTGTGTTCCAGTGGAGGAAAACGAACACACAAACAACTGGACTAACACAGGAGAGAATCACAGCGATGGAAGCACAGAGGGAAAAGCAATTAAACCCCATAAGTCCCTCTAAGGAGATTTGTTTCTGAAAGCGCTTAAACAGACAAGAGGGCAACATGGACTTACTGGATGTCACACAAAGAGATCTTCAACCTCAGACAGCCTCTGTCCCCTGAAATCTTTGTTTGCAAGGCAGGTGGGAAGCTGCCCAGTATGAACACATGCTCTTGAGCAGATAGGGGCCAGACAGGTGGAAGGCCCGCATGACGACTTGCAAGTCTCGCTCCCACCAGCAGTGACTCCTACCCAAAAACAGAGCTTCGCTTCATCCCCCCGCCACCCCGCCCGATGCTGCAAATGAAGAGGCACAGACAGACCTGGGGCGCAGAGAAGCCACGCGCCCAGGCTGTGCTGTGTAAGGGGGGATTCTGACTGCTGGGGTGTCTGCTCCCCTTTTTCAGTGATCCAGGGAATTGGGCCCAGAGAAACTGGGCCTGGGTAATGGCCCCAGTAAGCACATTTTCCAGCTGGACAACCGGGACGTGTCAGGAGGGTAACACCCCGGGGTGAAGACAGGAGAACAGCAGAGAGAGGACTGCCTGCCAGCCCGAGGCCCAGCTGCACAGGACCAGCAGCTCTCCCCAGAGCCAGCCCAGGCTGAGCCTCAGGGCCAGGCCCTCCCGCCCGCAGCAGCGCCCCTCACCAGCAGGGAGGGGCCTCCGACGACCAGGAGGGCCTAGGGCGGCCAGCGCGCCTGTCCAACTCCAGCCTTGCGATCTCTGAGCCGGCACTTCCTCATGGGACAGATGGGAACCACAATGGGGCCGGTGACTACCTCCCGAAACAGGCGCCGGGCTGAGTGCTCCAGACACATCGCTCATCTACTTACTCTCCAGAAGAAGACACCAAGGCAGTAGTGACGATGCCACTCCAGGCGGCAGTGACGCCCACCCTTTGCGGGCGAGGGGACTGCAGTTCTGAGAGGGACCAGCTACGTTTCCCCAGTCCGAGCTCGCTGCCTGGACTCGCACCCGCACACTGTGGTAGCCCCTGTGCGCACAGGGCGCCGGAAGGTGTGGCCCCGACCTCCATGGCCTGCTGACGCCGTGGCACTCCTCCTGGTGCTCTGACGGTGACACTGCTCTGGCTGCTCTTTCTCTCCAGATGCTGGCAGTTTCGGGTCTGTTCAGCACAAATCATCAGCGGAAACACACCTGCGAGTCTAAGCCAGTGCCTCAGGGACAATTCTCAGTACCAAATACCAGAACAGACGTGCTTCTTAGATGCTTCCCTGCTAAAATGTGCCTGCTGAGGGTGACTGTGAGATCAAGAGGCAGGGAAATGGGGGTCGGTACTAGTATTTCAGCTTACTACCTAAAATGGTCCTGCAATGCTCATGTTTTTAGAAAGTTCAGAAAGACAAAACGTAAGCTACGTTGCCTGCACACTGTTCAGTTAGGGCTCCTAAGCTAAAATGATGTCACATCCACAAGCTTTGACTATCCAAACCGCACTTTTGCCCCATCCTTACTTTTTAACTCACTTTTCACTGTCATAAAATGACTTCGATATATGTTTAAACCTCTAAGATGCTAAGGTGCCAATCAGATTATACATAGCATTAGTCATTGAGCTGGAGACTTCTCTGAGTAAAATCTAATTGTTACTGCATTTCACCACATCCTTCCTAATGCCAACTAACGTCCCCATGACTGAAAGGGTCATTTTCAAGCTACATATCTATTTATAATAGTGTGTTCACTGTCTTCCTTCCTGTGGCACATTGTCTGTGACCTTGACTGTCACAGGACTGATAAGATAGTGCCATCAACATATGTTGATGAAGCTCTAGACATCTTGTAAGAGAGTTCGTAGTTATTAAAAGCAATAAAGAATGACAAGGACAGTCGTATACTATAATACTGCCTGTCAAGAGAAAAACATCCCCCTTACCAGAAAGTACCCAGAGACATAATTAGGAGGTGGGAAAGAGAATGATTTCCTGGGCACAGTGACTGAGGGCCTGGGGTAAAGGCTGGCAGGAGGGCAAGGCACCAGCTCTGCAACATGCACCACTGAGGGTCCAGGTAACAGCAGTGATTCCAAGTCCAAAATGTGGACAACCAAGAATGCCCAGGTTAGTGGCCCTCCTGAGGAGGGGCCAGGAAGAATGTCTGTGAGGAACAAACTATTCTGAATTTTCCGACTTTCTCTCATCACACCAACTTGGAGACCAAACAATGAATCCCCTCGGGCACCTACTAAGAACATTAAAGGAATCTAAACGTCACAGCTTCTGAGCGCTTCTGCCCTTAACACAAGCCATGCACCCCACAGAGCTATAAACACATCCTGCCTGAAGACCTCCTTCCTGCTCACATGTTTCTCCATAAAACCTGTAGGACCTCCTTCCTTTATCCTAACATTTATCCTCGCCATTCCTGCCTGTCAGGGACAGGAGGTAAAGAAAGGTGCAAATAAACTGGACTCCAGATGCCTGCCCAGTTAGCTGCCTTCCTGAAAAAGCTTTTCCTGGGACCGGAAAAGTGCCCCTGTAGCCAGAATCAAGTGCGTGCAGCCCTCAGGGCCGCCTCCGCAAAATGGGGAGCCGTGCGTGTCCCCAGCCGTCCTTCCAGCCTGACGGGCTGGGATGTGTGCCATGGGGAAGCGTGTCCAGGGGGGCCCACACAGCTGCCCACCCCGGAGGCGAGGCCACACCCGGCTGGGCGGCAGACACCTCTCCCCCTCTGTGAGCAGTGGCTTCAAACACGGAGCAGCCTCTCCCCCCTCTCCTCCTCACTGTCACTCTCGTGTCATTCGCCTGTCAGCATGGCCCCCATCCCGGCCCCTCCGCCTGTCGGATGTGTGCCCTCTCTGGGCCTCAGCGTCCCGGTCTGTAAAAGGAGGGGAGAGAGGGCACGGATTGCTGCTGTGGAGACTAAATGGGCTCCTGTAGGGCATGTGCTCGGGACCCAGGGCCAGGCATTTGCTGTGCCTTGTTACTGGTGTTCGCAGCAGGAACGGCAGTCCCTCTGTCACCAGCCCAAGGCATCGGGCTCCACCGTCTCCCCTCTTACATGAAGTTTAGGGCACACAGCTCAGAACCCCACCGTAAGAGCCTGTACAGGGGACAGACTTGGGACAAAGCCTCCTGCCAGGGCCGCTCGGACTTCGCCGCAAGTTTTCACTCACTCGACAGGAGGCCCTGTATATTGAAAGTGTCCTTCCCACCTCTGCGGTACTAAGATGGCCAAACATGACGAGAGAATCCTAAACATGTCATCGATTGGAACCATGGGTTTTCATCATGATGGAAATAGGCAAGGTCACAAACAGCAGGATACAGGAAGACAGCAACTCCGTGGTACGAAGACTGAATCTTCTCCAACTTTTCTGGAATGTATACTTTTGGGGATTCTAGAATCCTATTGAGTGCCTGTGTTTGATAGGTTATTTTCCCCTGACAACATTTTGAGTTTTGAATAACACCCCAGTTCATAGTTTGCATCAGGCGATAACAGCAATGGCAGAAAAATAGTGGATCTAAGATAATTCCTGAACCCAAACCTCTTCTCTCATAGTGGGGCCAAGAACCGTGACAAGCAGGCTGGACACTGCTCACTTCTTCTATCCCACATAGGTTGTAACATTCAAAGCCTGTGGTTTTGAAATGATATTTTCCCTAAGGTTTTGAAAAAAGATAATAGCTCCAGTCATTTAGATTCTTTTTTGCCCATTCAGTATTTGAAATCTTTATAAGCTCTAAAATGATAATACGTCCCCATCACTGAAGATTTTATTTTATGGGATCCAATATTTCAAGACATGTCATGAGTTAATTTATCCTTGTTCACCTTAAATCTAGAGGGACATCCCGGCAGTAGCCAAAGTGGATGTGGTCAGAATCACTGACAGAGTGATTCACTTTTACATTGTACACATTCTTCACGGGAGGAGGGGAGATGCATTCAGAAATGATTAACTTAAAATCAGAATATAATACTCAATTTTCTTAAAAATTAAATATATCCTTACCTTAGTGTGGCTGGAGTAGAATGGTCAGAAGACAAAGCCCCCCTGGTGGTAGACAGATGCAGAGGTAACTGTTCTCAATCCGTCACCCCTGGAGGGGCCAGACAACTGCCGTGGGCTGCCACACATCAAATCCGCACGCCCAAAACCCAGAACACGGTGCGGTTCCTCACTCAAGTCCAAGTGATGTGATCCACCCTGTACACCCGTTGCGCGTGGTGAGGAGCGCAGAGCGGCGTGCCTCAGCCCGTCAGCTCATTCCCAGGTCCCAACCACTCGAGTGAGGCTCCAGGCCTCCCTTCTGGGAGCAGCCCGTGCCCTGCACTGGTCAGTGAGTGGCACGCCTTGCCACTCTCCCGTGCTCCCCACCCTCTCTCTTCCTGTTCCTCCCCTGCTGAGGTGCCCACTCCTCTCGCATCCTGGCCATGGGGGGTGGGGGTGTCTCAGATACCTGCCTCCCTACATGGCTCTGCTGTTTGGAAGATGCAGCTGTCTGTGCATGAAGGTGGTTGGGGAAGAGCCCCTCACGATCTGGGCTTTGGCCAAGACCGCCTTATACTACTTGCTAGTATTATTTTCCTACCTTATTAAGTTAAAGGAGGGTAGCCTCCTTCCTAGCTTGAGTTATATTTCAAAAAGTTGCCTTCAATTACTGTACTTCCCTAGATAAGCAGCTGCCCCAATCCTCTCTATCCCATTAGTTAGATTTATTTTGTTTTTGGTACTTAATGTTATGTAAAGTTTGTATGGACTTTTTTACATCCTGATTGTCTCTAAGCCATCTTGCCCCAGCCGCACTAGATATGAGCTCTGTGGGAACACGGGCACGCCCCTCTCACCATATTCACTGTTTTATACCCAGTGCCTACGAAGGTGCCTGGCATAAGTTCCAGATCTACATTTCCAGTTATTTATTGGTATATCTCATGGGTACCTCAGTTACAACTTGAAAAGCTTAATTCTGGAAAGACGTTCCTGGAAAACCTACACTTCCTTATTCATCGCCTACCGCCTACCTCTCCCCAGCTACAGATTCCGTCATCCTGGAGTGAACTTCTCCATCTTCTCCTCTTCCCAACTCCCCAGGCTCCTGCCGTCATTCGCCATTTTCCTCCTTCCCCTGTGCCCATCCCACCCCTGCTACCCCATGCCACATCCAATTGGCTTTTAACCCAGGCTGATTCCTCCTCTCCAGTCCCCCTTGCCCCTGTCTGGGAGGCCTCTCCTCACCACTGTGGCTGACTGCTGCTCTCTCTGTGTCCCATGGTGTAACAGCCACCCTGTGTCTCTCGATTCAGTGAGTGCTTTTCGGTCTTTTTAAGGTCTCAAACTTTATCAAGAATCAGTAAACGGCATGGCCCAAGGAAGTCCACATACTCTCAAACTTTTATATAAAATGTCAGGACACTATATTTTAGACCCTTTACTGTAACATGCATCAGGGTTATTTATAACTATTTACACACTCGTCTCCCTTACTAGAATGCAAACAGTTCTAGGACAAGTTTGTACCATGTTTTATCTTTTACTTTCAGCCCCTTCATGTGTAGCACTGTGCTCGGTGTGGACAAGGCCCTTCCGGACTACTGAATGCTGAGAGAGACTCAGCCAGCTGCAGCCTCCCAGCCACTCCAGGTGCGCTCGGGATGAGAGTGAAGCCATCGTGGCCCTTCCAGCCCCACCCAGGCTCTCAAGCCACAGGAAGGTCCGTGTGGAGAACTGCCTGCTGAGCCCAGCCAACCCACGGGATCCTCAGACACCATGATTTCTTAAGCCACCTTGTGGGGCAGTTTGTTACAAGAAATAGACAGCTGATCTGCAGCCTTTCTGTAAATATATTATTGTTTTAAACTTAAGTGTATGCTGAAAAAAACTTTGTCACTTCCATAAATCAGTATCCCTTTTCATTCAACACAATGAAAGAAAAATGAAACGCTGTTACCCACTTCCAGCCAGATACTGCCCCTTCAGAAGCCTCTGTATCAGTCCCAAAGGAGATCCAAATGTCAGGCAGGCATTCAAGACTCAGCAGAAGCAAAATAGAACTTGCTCCTTGGTGCACGCTGGACAGAGAAAAGGAAACACAATCATGCAATATTATTTAGTGCTCTGTCACCAAAACTCATTAGCTGCTGCTACAGGTAGCAAATGATAATGCAGGTGGTAAACAGCCATGGCAGAAACTGTGAGAAAGCTACTCAAGCGACTAACATTTAGAAGATGCTATATAGCCTCACACCTAAACATTGAGACAGTCAGGCAGGCAACACTTTTAGTGCCTTCTACACATCAACACAACGCTAAACAGAGAGGGGGCTGAAAAAAGACAAAACAGGACACAATCCTGTCCTAGAAATGCTTACGACCTAGCGGAGGAGACAGGAATGTGAATAAACAGTCACAACACATTGACCACGGTAAAGGTAATTATACTAGATTTAAACTACAAAGCCCATGGACTCAGACTCCAAAGCTATGACATTTTGTATTCAAGTTCAAGGACAGATGGCTATTTCTGGGCCCATAACTTCCATCAGATTCACAGAGGAGAGCTGTGGAACCCATTCCATAATTTAAGAAACATGGGATTAAATCATACATCGTTCTTGGTTCAATTGTTTCTACCTAACTACACGAACGTTCTCTTGAGTTCCCTGATGACCTCACACCCCTGAAGATCTCTACCACATTCTAAACTCTTTGAAGCTACAGAAGTGTCTTCTGCCTTCTAGTATCAATAAACATGTGTTAAGTGAAGAATAAACCTGGAACAAGCTTTTCCTGCTATCTAGGACTGATAAAAAATGTGTTTTCTGTAGCTTAGACTGCATGTGCATTTAATCTGAAATGTGTGAATAATATTTGAGGGTGGAAAAGCACCAGTCTCTTCCTGCAGTGTGTTCCACGTGTATATTCATACACGTCTGCCTGGACTGGCTGGCATTCTACAGCTACGTCTGTTTAGGTCGGCACTAGATGTGTTAAGTGGTGGGGCCTGTTTATTTAAAGGCAGCCATTGCAATGTTACTCACACACCAGCCTCTGGCCTCTCCTGGGCCTGAAAGGGCTGTGTTGATATTTATGCTTCTCTTAATGTTTCTTCTTTTATTCTATTCCTCCAACATAGCAATTTTGTTTCTCTCTATAACTTAAATACAGGGAGAAACGTAGACCTCTAAAATTTTAGTTCCCTGGTCAGAATTTCCAAACAATTGTTGGCCTTGTTGAGAAATGACTGAGCTCAAGCCTCCTGGGCTCAAAGTCCTTGAAGGTTTGACATTTAAATTCAGTCTAAAATAGTTTTTGCATGAAGAACCAAGAAAGAGAGGACTGTGGTTTGTACCCTGGCATGGAATTTTATGTGAGTGGGATAGAAACAGAGTGGTGTTGAAGCTGTCTGCAGGATTTACTGGCACGGACTGGGGCAGGGGAGCCCAGGGTCCAAACAGGCACATAATTCATGTGACTACTCCTGGCTTTTGCCTAAGCTTCCACCTCCACGGCCCAGACACAATCAACATACACGGAAATGCCAGTCAGGCTACCCATGTCACCCTCTGTGCCACGCGCCTGTGTCTGAGCCCCTCCCCCAGGAGGGGCCCCCAGGGCATGAGGGTGGGCAGGGCAGCAGAGCAGCAGGCCCCTGCAGGACTTTCTGCTCATTCCAAAGCGCTTCCTAGCTGGGAGGCTTCTGAGCCATTGGAGCATCAGTGTCATAGCTCCAAATACGCTTTACTAGAATATATATTTGTTTGTATTTGCGAATGTATATAAACACTCTAGACTTTATTATCTTTTCAAAATAGTTTTTAACCTAAGCTTTATGTTTAACACATGTTTAAGTGTTGACTAAATACACTCCTTGATTACATGTGTCCTACTTTCCTACTAGAAAGAAGTCCTATTTCAGTATTTGAAATGCCCTTTTCATTCACCTATATCTCTGAACCTTTTCAGTAACACCCCATTATAAACAGGAGTTCGAGCTGATTAGCCATGAAATGACATAAACAAGTTTATGGATACTTAATACACATTATATATGTGTAACGGAAAACACCTGCCACTTGGAATGGACAGTTCGCCTAACACAGAGTAACAAGTTTTGAGGAAAATGAATCATGAACAGGGTAACTGCCAGACACACATAGAAGCCCTACCTCCGGCGGCACCACATGATCGCAACGACAGCTAAACCCTCAGGTCTTTTCTTAGTGCTTCTTCCAAAAGGGAACAAAACTGACATGTATGTGTGTGTGTTGTCCTGAATTGAGGGTAGAAAGTTCTAGAAGTAGATGTTAGGTGGTGAAAGGGTATCTCGCTGCAACCCTCCTTACCCAGAATGACTCAGGAGCCACGGGCCCACGCAAGAGACTTTATTATCTGAAGGAGAGAGTGGCTGCCCCAGATGGGGGTGGAGAGAGAGAGAGAGAGGGAGCAGCGTGGTGCCTTTTATTGTGGCGGATCCGCTGGGCCCATTGCCTTGGGAGAGGGTCGGGATGTTTAGAGATAAGGCGGGGTAAACTGAGGCAAGCCCCAGGCAGGCCCAGGCATAATTCTCACCAGCTTATGTGCTTGGGACCATGGGGCAAATGGAGGATAAATTACTATTTTCTTATAGGTGGTGCATGAGGTGCCAAAATGGCAGCTGAAGAAAGTGGGGTGCAGAAGGAGAGGGTTAAGCCCGGGGTCTTGGAACGGCTCCAAGCTTAAAGGTCTGTCATCCTCTAACTAGGGGCAACCGAATGAACACAAAGCCCTGTGTCTGTGCAGATCAAAGGAGCAAAAGGAGAAAGGGGGATGTGAACCAAAATGCCAGCCAGCAGGTGGAGGGAGAGCCAACCGGCCGGCCGGTGCAGCCCCAGCGCCCACCCTCTAGGGCTGCGGGGAGAGGAACGGGCTCCCGGGCACTCTACGCCTCTGCTCAGTGAACAGGGCGGCGAGGCACCCCTGGGCTGCCCCCACCTGGAAGCCCCCACCCCACCCCGACCTGCAGACCCTCCCCCCCACCTGGAGATCCCCATATACCTGAACAGACTGTACCTTCACACAGCCATCCTTCCAGTGGGCCCCTGTGTAGACAAGAACAGGAAAAAGACACCAAATCTCAGTCTTTAGCAGTAAGATAGCCCATCCCTATTTCCCGGGCCCACGCTGATACACTGTGGAAGAGCCCAGAAACAGTCGAGTGTCTGGGTGTGTTCTCTGCCCTGTTGTTTGTCAGCTGGTGGCCTTATGTCAAGGGCTATACAGGTTTTTTTGAGCTGCAAAATGGGCATAAATGTAGCACTTGCTTTACCAACTTGAAGTTGTGACAAAAACAGGCCTGGGACAGGCTCCAAAGACCTGTGCCCCTGAGGGGAGGCAGAAGGCTGGCCTTCATGGAGGGCATGGGTGGCTGGTCTGTCTATCAGATGTGCTGCCCACCGGCATGGCCCTGCTGAGCCACATGAAGCAGGTGTTCCCTCTGCCACCGCGGTGGCCCCAGTGCCGTGCCCGATGTCCCACTGCTGCCCCCTGTGCCCGGAAGCCACCCGCCCTCCCAAGCCCTGCTCCACAGCTATCCACCGCTCCGCATCGAGCTGCTCTCTGTGGGCAGTGCAAGCACACAGTGTGCAGTGATGAATTCTCCCATTCGAAAATACAAAAACTGTCCTGGTCCCACATCCTGCTCCAGCTACAATCAATCCCATTTCTCTTCCCTGTAAGAGTGAAGCCCCTCAGAGCTGTCTGCCTCCTGTCCAGCTGCTCCATTCCTTCTGGAAACCACTGCAAACCCCTCTCACCCTCACTTCCCTGGTGGCATGGCTCCTGAGGACCCGCCGGCGACCTGCACATCACTGCACCCGACAGTCGGTCCTCAGCCACTCCCACTCCCCCACCAACACCTGGCGTGTCAGGTCACGCCCTTTTCCCTAAAACACTTAGTTGGTTTGACTTCTTGGACTTCATTCTGCTCTGAACCCTAGAATGGCATCCCATCCCCCTGGGAATAAAAGCCAAAAGCCTTAGCATGGCTTCAAAGGCCCTTTGTGATTCTTCTTGGAATGCTCTTCTTCCAGACCACGGCAGAACTCATCCCCCAATTCCACCGACTCAGCATTACCTCCTCAGCCCGCAGGTCTGCCCCTGAACCCCTACGTGAAATAACTGCCTCCCTAACCACCTTTCTCCCTGACCAGAAGTTCAGTATTAAAATCTTCGTGGTACAGTGACAACTTACTTCTTTCACACGAACTTGTTTTGTTTACCACCCTCCTCCAGCACGTACAACAGTGCCTGCACATAGTAGGGATTCAAACATTTATGGAGTGACTTAGGGAAGGAATCCTAAGCCCAGGAAACTGGACGATGGCCATGCACCCAGCCAGCCTTCCATATCCAGTTCAACAAGAAGAGGTCAGAGCACAAGTGCACATGGCTGGGCCTGTGCAGACCTTGCCCGTCCAGGGGTGAGGCAGGGGCGCGCAGCACGCTGCCCTTGAAAAGATGCTGCGGCACCAAAGAAAATGTTGATGTCCTGGTTGGTGTCTGAAACAGAGGCGTACGAAAACCTGATCCCCGTGAAATAAGAGGAAGGGAACTCAAGAATGACTAGAGTAAGATGAAAGGAGAAAAGAGTGTGAAGCCACTAGAGTAACAGAAAAATGCAGGGAAACCCAAAACACCCTGCGGAATTAAAATATTCCTTTGAAGCAATCACCGTAACAATGGGCACTGCAGAAAGTCCACAGTGTGTGAGTTAACGTGAGTAGCTCTTCTAAAACACACAACAAAGGTGGAAAAAATGCAGAAAGGAGACCAAAAGAAATTTTCCAATATGTTAACAATATTAGTATCTTCAGTGATTTTTTTCTTGCTCCTATATACTTTTTTCTATTTCTAAATTTTCCATAACATATATGTAGAGTCATAACAATCAGGGGAAAAGAAGAGGGAAAAATTAAATGTGTATCTTATTTGTTCATATTCTTTTTTTCTGAGGAAGGGGTTATCCCCTGGGGCACCGGCTTTCACCCACCCAGCAGCACTCAACCACCTCATTCAGATGTTCCCATCCTGTAGAACTCACTCGGTTGGAGACCTCCACAGGGTCTGGCTCTTTTAATATGACTAGATCTCCGGGAGGTCCTGACACTTTGGGAAAATCAGGGGCAGTGAGAAACAAGCACAAAACAGCACAGTTTATTCACGTCCCTCTGCTCTCACAATGACAGGTGCACAACCGTTTCATTTAAATGCCTGTTGGGATGGAGAGCGCAATTTCACTTAGAAGTACCCATTTTGAGTAAGGGATAGGAAAATGGTTCTTGGGCTACTGGGCCTATGTGACGTTCCGATGGAAAATCTGCCCTGCAGTCCCACAGCCCTAGGGCAGGGGGCCTTGGCTGACCCGGGCATGCTTCCAAGACTGAGTGCGGCTTTTAGACCTCAGCTGGCTCTGCTAGTGTGCACTGCTCTCTCCTCCCCTCCTCTCCCAGATCTGCAAGCTCATTTCTTCTTAAATCCTCCATGAGATGATGCATAAATGCACTTTATTTCCTCAATGGAAATGCAGTTGCTGCACAGCTGTTAGACTTGAAATCACCAGGTGGTGGGTGAAAGCTGTTGCCAGGGTAACCACACTTCCTTCCAGCCATGGGAAGAGCTGCCATGTTTCTCTGCTCTTGGAAATATAGTTATAAAAGGATTGACTTTGTGCACATGAATATTTACTATTTAAAGAGAATGCCCATGTCTTCATAAAGCAATGGAATATATTTTGGTTATCCATATGCATGAAAAAGACACTATCTTTTCAGGGCATCAGGTCTCATCTTTCTATGCCAATAGGATTGTAAGGATCAAATAATAACTAATATTTCATGTTACCTATAATGCACTGGTGTATCTCATTTTATACATTAGATTCATTTTAAATATGCAATTGGAGCTTAGTATTTATACCACTATGAATTCTGGAAGGAAATACATTTACAGAATGTATTTAATCCATCAGTTATGAAAATTGCTGCTTCCATTCAGTAGAATCTCAGATGTAAAAGCTGATCTGAGACCCCCAGGGTTGGACTGGTATTAACAAGCCTGTAGGGCCTCCCCTTCCCCTGCCCTCTCCCTCTAAGATCTGTTTACTGAGTTCCTACTCTGCCCTAGGACTGTGGCAGGTGCGGTGAACATCACTCAGGAATTTCACCCTGCAGTGGAGATGGAGGCAGTGTGATGGGTTCAACTTCAGCTGTACTAGATTTTGTCAAATTGTTTCCCAAAGTGGCAGTGCCAGTGAGATTCTCCCAGGAGCAATGCATAAGATTTCTTCATACATCCTCATCTACACTGGTTCTCTGGTGGATATAAAACCCTATCTTCAGTTAGCCTGATTGCCATGTTCTCATGGTTACTGGCCGCTGGGGTTTTCTTTTCTGTGCATGGCCTGTTCATGGCTTTTATCCATTTTTCTCTTGGATTGTCTTTTCTTTATTGATTTACAGGGGTTCTTTATATATTCCATGAATGAATATTTTTATATGTTTAAATCTCTTTCTTACTTGTCCATTTGTCCTTTACTCAGTGTCTCTTACAGAAGTTCCTATTTTTAATGAAGTCAAGTTTATTTATTCATGTCTTTTTTTTTATATCTTGTTTAAGAGATCCCGACTTATCCTAAGTTCATAAAATATTTCCTTTAGATGTTTAAAAATTGTGTTTTGTATTTATGTCTTAGATCTATAATTGATTTTCATCCAGAGTGTCATAAAGGAATCTAATTTTGCTTTTTTTCCTGTTGCACCAAATCCATTCCTGACATCTAAATTTTCCCCAATAAGACTTCTCATGTATATCAAGTTTTCATATACGTGTAGATCTGTTTCTAAACTTTCCACTCTGTCCTGTCGGCATATGTGCCTAAGCCATTTCTATCCTGTCTTGATTACCACAGCTTCACAACAAGTCTTGATATCTATTAAAGTGAAATTCTTCACCTTGTTCTTCTTCAAAATGATCTTAACTATTTCTGGCCCTTTGCTCTTCTATGTAAAATTTTAGTTTATTGAAATGCTATTGTCATCATGAGTATTTTGTGCTATGGACTATGCAGCTGATTTTCACCTGCAAAGATTAATCAAGGAATACACAGTCTCATCAGGAGGAGCGCGGCTGCTATTTGATCATACATACCCATTCCCAAAGTGCCTGTTCCCAAATCATATCCAGAATGGTTCTGTGTGACTTTTATTATGAATATTGACAGACTTTGGGTCTTTCCTCAGTAAGAACCTTGGCCATCTCACTCTGCTTTGTGTAATGCCACCATGGGCCGTCCTTGGCCAGTAATGCTTTACCTTCTTGATCTGTGTCAGTAGCTGGCAGCAGCTTCCAGCTCCTGAAGACAGAGAAAGCCCACCCCAGGCTCTCCACCGGTGAGCAAGGAAGACTGCACTGTGGCCCGCCCCGTCAGTGCTGCCCCCACGCACAGCGCACCTCCGGGCCCCTCGCCTCTGGGCATCTGCTGCCTGAAGTGCACCCCCAGGAGGACTTCCCTCAGGCTTGGCAAGCCTCGTGGAACTAGGATGACGCTACGTGTATTTTCACGTTCCTCTCACACGTTTACTACATAACAGCACTTGGAAATGTCTTTAAATTATGATAACTTAGAGCCACAATAGCCATCCTGTCTTCACGAAAGGCTAGGCATGCACTCTGAGCACATTCTATACATCAAAGCGCTGAATACCTTGGCATACCTTATTTCAGATGACCCTTAGAGCAATCTTGCAAGGGGGTAATATAATCCCAAGCTTGCAGGGGAGACTGGAGATGAGAGAGGTTATTGCCTAGAAAGGTGTAGTGACAGCAGTAAGTGCTAGAGTAAAGATTCAAACCCAGATTTTTTCAGATTCCAAAGCCCCGGCTCCCTCCTACACCACTTCTAACTCTATGAAAACCTCATTTGAAACAATAAACATAATGTGACTGTTTGAAGACAGAGATGCTTATTTACAAAGTGCCATCTGCCCACATGGTGAATAAATTTGATCATTTATTTGAAATGTTGCAAGTGCCTCTTATATGCTAGGCATGGAATATTCTTAAAAGCAGGACAGAAGTGTCAGCACACCTTGAAAAAACAGAGTAAGTGGAAATGTCAAATTAGCTGGGGCCCATGATAAGCAAACCAACAGAAACCCAGGTTTCTCTAGCTGCTTTGAAATGCTGCAGGCAGGTGTGCCCCCTGCTTACATTCTGCCAAAGAGTTGTTTCCTGTCCTTTTGTCTCAGTTGAAAACCATAAAAATTTTAAATCATTCCAAAAGATTCTCTACATAAATTGGGACAAATTCACAGACTAGCTAGTGTAGATATTTCCCACCACATGAACTATTCTATACAAAATCAAGTGAGCAGAAGATATTTTAAAATTGTAGTACTGGTTAATCCGATGGAAAATATGGAGACAAATGTTTTTTTTAATCAATAACTGGTTCTCTTCCTATATCCTCTGGGTAGCATAAGTACATAGCTCTCTCAGCTTCCGTTTTCCAGTTTGTTAAAATGGAGAAAATCATTAAAAAATCAAAACTCAAAAGCTCAGGTTGAATAACTGTGTAACTACATTTGAAAAGACTCTAGAAACTGTAATGAGTTGGCTGCATGTTACTTACTATTAGGTAGAAGTTTGATAAATGAAGCTGTTCCCAGACTCCTGTTTCCAGGAGTGGGCTAGAAAGCAGAGCTCCTACTCACTTCAGTGAAGAATGAAATCACCCAGGGCAGGAGATGGGAATGGAAATGAAAGGTTTCTGAACAAAAACAGTAAGAATAGAACATATAAGTTATTTCAAATACTCCTATGAATGAAAGTGAATATATTTGGAACAATAAAACCTCTAAGCACCTTTTTACAGGTGTGGAGGATAGGAGAGCTCTTACCTGATCCACAGCTCTGAAAGTTCAGGACCACGGAAACTGCAGCACAGAATCTGGAAAGGTAACGTCAAAGAATCAGAACTTTCTGCTATGTTTGGTTAAAGCCCACACTTTAATGAGGTTTTAATCTACTGCATGTCCAATGAGGAATTTAACTGTGGATATTACTGAAAGGAAATATTTGATTAGAAACAACAGAAGCCAAAACCCACAAATCTTGTGAGGCCACTCCTGACATGATTCCATGTCAATATACTGACTGGTTTTTTGGAAAACCAGGGAAAACCAGGGAGAAAGACAAAGTCTTTCCAAGCACTCAGCCTTTCAGCTGCAGCTTGCAAATCATTGGAAATAAAGTGCATCATCTTAAGTCATAAATGCGTATAAAAAAAAAAAGGAACAATGGCATTGCCAAAATATGATTCATGGCTAAAAGGGTCTGATATTGTGGCGCCTTTCTCCTCATTTTCAGACTCACTTTAAGGTTCGGCAGGACCTTAACCCTATCTGCAGTGCCTCAGTAAACCTAACAGGAAACAGAAGATGCTCGTGGATCGTCTTACGTAGTAATCAGGCCGCCCACTGGTTGGAAACCAAGGCTTCCTGTCCCAGTGCCGGGGCAGACTGAGTGCGCACAGGAGGCGTGTTCAAGCCCTGCCCTCAGGGCTGCCACACTCACAGGGCTGTTTGTGTACCGCACCAAGCCCATGGGGAGCTGGTGGGGCTGAATCTAGCCGCACCCCCTTGCCAAGCCCTGCACTCGGGGAGGGACTGTGTCAGCCAGTCGCAAGGGGAGCCTCCTCTAGGCAAAGGCCCTGTGCGTCCGGGGCTGTAATAGTGCGAGGTTAACGGTCACAAACTCTCCTACCGACCAGGGGCCCCACTCGGCCCACGCAGGGCGACCCTCTGACTCAGGGAAAATCACAGCCTGTCCATTTCCTCCAGAGTAAGCCTTTCACATTATTACAAATGCTTGGCAATCCACACACTGACTACAGTCCATCTCCCGCCAATGGGTAACACCAAGGGTCTTTATCTCCAACAGGAAATAATATAAACAAATTATTATTGACCAAAGCCACAGCTGAGTGCTTATGCAATGGCAGTCACACTCATCTGTGCTTTCCTCACCTTCCTGTGCTCAAACCTAAGGCCCAGTTGGATGGAAGAACCTAGATGATGTTTCACAAGAGAGGATTAATCCCCAGGGTCATTTTTCCTTTGACTTAAATTAGTGATATGTTGCTTAAGCCACCCCTTGATATTAGAACCTCTGATAAGGGCAAAGATGAAATTTGAGGGGTTTTTTGGTCCTTACTACATGCAAGACAGAGTCGAAGTGCTCTCTTTACAATACAGACTCATTAAATCTTCACCAGTTATTACTCATTTTTACATTTGTGAGAAGTGAAGCACACAGATAGTAAAAAAGCAGAACAGGTGTAATTCTGGGGGGGTGCTGGGAGTCAGGGAATAAGTTCCCAACCCGGGGCAACTTACCTCTGAAGCCGAAATCAGTCAAAGGGAGAAATAAAATGGGAAAAACCTCTTTATTGCTTACAAGCAGTCATCCACTTCTGCTCACCTGTCTCTCACTACCTGGCTGCAAAAAGGGAAAGGGACCCCACCCAACCTCTCTGGTCCAAAACGACCCTCTGTGCCCCAACCCTTGTAATCACCTACTGATATGGAGATGCACTGAGGCCGGGCGCGAGGTTCTGGAAATACTGCAACTTTACCCACAACAGGCCATCAAGCTAGGCACTCCAGATCCAGATTCTATGCTTGTACATAGACTGCCTGGAAGGAAGAACGTTTCCCAATATTGCCATCCAGTGAATACTGCCCTGGGTTAAAGTCTTCTGCAAATAAAGGCAGTGGTCCTCGAAGCCAAATAGGATACATAAGTCTTTTCAAATACTTTTTAATATCACATCAAAAGAGCATAGTAGGATGCAATGCTGTTGACTAAAGGAAGCTAAGAAGGTTTTTTTTGTAGTCAACAGAAAACATAATAAAATCTGAAGTATTTTAAAGCAAAATGAAATGCTCACCCTCAGTTTCAGGGCCGCATGATGCAAAAATCTCATATTCTTAATAATAATCTGACTTGTAAGAGGCCTTCGCGCCTCTTCTCTTCAATTCTTTGTAAATTTGGGTCACAAAGTTTATGATGTGAAAATCGTCAAATTGTGTTTTAAAAAGGCAAGGGAAGTGGGGGTCTTTAATCAAGACCTCCCATGAAGTTTACTCTTCAGGATCCCAAGCAACTTGATCAGTCATAAAAAGGAAACTAGAATACTACTTAGATGCATGTTCCCTTTTCCAACTGAAATTTCCAAGACAGAGGAACTTCATGATCATTATACCAGTACTCAAAATGGAATATCATTGCCAAAGATATTTGTATGTGTGCATGCACATACACATGTATGAATATATATGTTTCATATGGTTATAATCAGCTAACTGGAAGCATCCCGTATACTACAGACAATTAGAATCAACTTTATAAAGTAATAGAAATGACTAGCTAACTAACTTCTGGCTCCTTCAAAATTCAGCAAGTGGGTTTTAGCCTAATGGATTAAAAACATAAGTACTAGGTACTTGCTGAGCACACATCTGGGATCACTTTATCCTGAAACTGTTGGATAATGAGGTGCTAACATAGCCAACTATGGCTCACCCCCTAACGAAATGAGGGTGTGTGTCCTGGGCTTAACCCCTTTTCAGTATCAGTTCAAATTCCAGAACAGCTCGTCCAGGGATCATATTGGTAGGAATGTGCTTGTCTTGGAAACCTGTGGACCAAAATATGCTCATCCTTAAGAAAAGTAGATCCTGCAGATGACAGGGACTAGCTGTCAGCGTTCCCAGACATCTCAGAACTGAAGTCTCATATTCTTAGCCTCTTATTGAGCCCACATGCTCTCCAGCACCACTTGTAAAACAAAAGACAATAAGCAAGAAGTTGTAATGAGTCCAAACAAAACATCAAACAGACCAGGAAGTGGCAATTCTGGGGGAAGGGCAATTTTTCACGATGGTGTGATGCAGCCTGTGGACTTCCCATAGACTTCAGGGTTCAACCACGAAATAAGTTCTCTGGTGGAAACTGATTCATCTAATGGCTGAATAATTAGGCTCACTGATCCCCAAGACCTGACGCTCTGAAGGGGTACGAGGGGACAGGAGACGTGCATTCTACGGCCAGCCATCACTGACCAGTTTAACCAGCAATAAATCATTGTCCTGCCCAGCCTCAGCTGCTTCCCTCCATAAAAGAAGTTTAATCAGATAATCTCCAAAATCCCTTCAATTCAGGATCTAGCCAGGACTCAAAAGTTTTTTACTGCACCTCAAATGTGTGTATGTGTGAAGAGAGAGTCCGACCGACCTGCTGAGGACGAGAACAAGCACGGAAGCCGAGATGCTGCCCTAGACTCGGGCGATTCCTCGGTCATCAGCCCCCGTGACACAGGCTGCACCAGGAGCCCCAGCTCCCAGCATGTACGCCTCAGTCTCTCATTTCCTTCCCTCCTCCGGACCAGTCACATCAAAGGAGGTATAGTGTAAATGTAGTGCAGAAACTTACAAAACTGTAAAAGGATGCCATTCTTCTCTCCAAATTTATTTTGAAATATAGCTATTTTCACTTTAAAATTCAATTTATGTGAGCACATTATATGGTTTTTTAATTAAATATTTTAATTTCTAATATGGCATATATCAATAGAAATAACCCAGGTGAACAAAACTTTTAAGGTGCAAGGGAGTTCTTAAGATCAGAGTTTGAGAACTGCTGGTGGTCAGGATCACGAACTCCTGAGCCAGGATGGATGAGCTGCAGCCCCTCTTCTACCACCGAGGAGTGGTGTGACACTGGGGACCGTCGCTCAGAATCTCTGTGCCTCCGCTTCCTCATCTATCCAGTGGGGATAATGGTGTCTACCTCGTGGGACTGCCATGAGGCTCAAGGAGCTGACAGGTGCACTGCGCTCGGTGTGAGCCATGTCACCCGTCACCTTCGTCCTCCCCTGCCTCCTCGCCCATCCCCACTCCCCCCAACACCCCCATTTCTTGTTTGTTTTGCTGTTCCATCTGATTTGGGCTGGTCTAACTACCGTGTCTGCCTTAGGCCAGCAGGGAGCTGTGACTGGCGCTGCCCAGGCCCCTGTGGCCACAGCCCCCACTATCTGCCCGGTGCTGCGGCAGCTAGTTGTACTTTGAATTTGCCCTTCACAGCAGCTCCCTCAGCAAAAGACAACTGGAAAATCAAAGTAAGCAATGCTAAGTTTTTAAAAACACGCAACGTCAGAGAATTAGAGGGCAAAGTAGAAACTTTGCCTTAGGAATAATCGGTGAAACTGAAGAACATAGAGAGAAACTGCCAGCAATTACATTCATTCCTTAAAGGAAAAGGTGGTATTTACCCAACCTACTTCCAAATCTTCAACTGTTTTCTTTCACAGTCCTCCATCTCCCAGGACACCCAGCTCCACCCCTGCCCAGGACCTTCGAACTATCAACTAGTTTAAATATTCTGATGAACAAGAGTCCCATTGGAAGCAGGTGGCCGATGGCCGTTTAACCTTGGGAGAGCAGGTTTTTGAGTTTTATTAACGTACATATATAATCATAATTCCTTGTTTTTGTATTAACTTTCTAATCTATAAAGTATTTTCACATAAATTTTCCTTTAATTCTTGACAATGAGCATGTTATTATGCCTAGTTTACAGTTTAGGAAAACTGAGGTCAGATAAGCTTTGAATTGACAGGAACTGAAACCGGAGTGAAGTTGGAGGATTTTTAAAAGGCTCCAGTGGGGGTGGGGAGGGGTGAGCCTGGTAGGAAAAGGGGGACCTAAACTGTTTTTGTCAGGGTTTACCACTTAAACCTGCTCTGCTGAGGAAATAAATGTGCTAATTCCCCAGGGCTTTTCACAGCATTGTTACTGCCTCCACAGCCAAGCTATACATTCTCTACAATTTCCAAGATCTATTTTTATTTCTCTATTTACTAATTTCTTTATACAGTGGCTACCTTGGCAATCTAAAGGAAGAGTTTACAGAAGGTACACTGGTATGTTTTCTATTTGGGCTGCTTCTGAATAGGGTGTTTGTAAATTGAGAACTGTTTTGTATGTGTGATGTCACTAAACATATATTTGGTCAGTCCAAAACTATCTGGCATTTGTCCTTCACCAACATTACTGAGTATTCTGGTTTCTCAATCATGTGAGCTTAAAATGCACAGCCAAATTTAATGAATGTCAAACTTGTGCAGTGGCTCAAATTGATTATTTTTAAACAGAAAAAAGACTCACAAAGGATCAACTGGAGTGTATATTCAGGAATACAAAGAGGAGTCCTTTTGAATCATCAGTTCTGAATATATTTAAAAGTGTGTTAATATAAACACAACTGTAAATTTTACATGAAGTAATCTAAAATGTGTGATGTTCCTTGTATGCAAAACTGCTAAGAATTGTATCTTAGTAATATATATTTAAGTATTATAAACTTTACATTGTATGATATACTATGTAGTAAGAGCTAATAAAACTCTGCTATTTCATTACCCGTTTTGTTTTGTAACTTAGCTCTAGAACTAAAGTAGAAATGTCTGCATCAGGGCGCCCATGTAGTAGCCACTGGTCACTTGTGGCTACTGAGCACACGAAATACAGTAAAGCTATTGAGCAGCTTAGTTCTTACTTTTATTTACTTTTAATTAAATTTAAAATAGGATCATGTTGCTATGTATTGGACAGAGCAGTTATAAGATCTCTTTCAGCAATAAAAATCCTATGATTTTATCATCCTAAAGACCCCAAATTGTGAGCTCAGGATCAAGGCCATGGTTATTAAACATCTGACCATTAATTGGGTGCTGAAATAAAGTTAGCTAACCAGACACAAAATTTTTCGTAAGTTGTCTTGTTATTTAATAAACATCAAAAACTATTATGTGCAAAATAACAGGCAGGGCAGTGGATCTGGATATATACACACTCAAACATATATAATTGGCCTCAAGCAGCTTATACTAGTGGTAAGGACAGACTGATAGGTCATAGAAAAAGAATACAAAGAAATGTAAGTAAAGGAGAGAAGTGGAGGGGAGTTTAGTATGGATCAGACTAGAGGGACTATGCTCCTACGTTGGGTCTCACCTGTTAAATCCCAACTCAGTGCATCCTAACAACCGGCCTAACAAGGCCAACCGGAACTCATCCTTTACCCAGTACTGCTGAGCTCCGGCTTTAGGACAAAGAACTGGCTGAGCTCTGGGGACACACTGCTGGACAGACAGCTGCCCTCGGGGAACTCGTGCCCCGGTGTGGGCGGGCAAGCAGCCAGCGGCGCCGGGAACCCCAGGCGGCGCCAAAGGCAGAAGGGCACAGCGACCCGCGTTCCTATTCAGTCTGTCCAGCACTTTTCTGCCGGAAATTTCCTTTTCATTTGGCATTATGTCGTCGGCCATTTCAACGCTGTCACTTTTGGGCACATTTCAATCAGTATGTACCTGCCTATCGAACTGCAGAGCCCCGCGTCCTTTTCCAGAGGGCCCGAGGCCTGTGAGACAAACATTTCTCCTCGAGTTAAGTTCCTGGGTCAAGTATGTCAATAATCCACGTATGAAAAATGTCACACCGCCTTCGAATGAATGCATTTCTTCACAAGAGTTTTTTTGAATTGTGTGTGGTTTTCCATCCAAACTAAATTTAGACATATCTCCAAAATAAACTCTCAGGAGGCTAAACACATGAAAGAAAAAAAGGTCCCACCGAAATGTAAACATTCCAAGATGTCAACTGTTCCCAGGCCATTTCGGCAGCGCAGCGACCGCAGCGAGGGGCTCGCCCCCGGCCGGGTCCCGGCCCAGCCCCGCCGCGCACGGGCGACAGCAGTACCCCCCACCCCCCAGCGAACAGGCGCGCCGGGAACAGCCGCCGTCGTCCCCGTTCTGGGGCCCCGCAGAGGAGGCAGCGCCCCGCGCGGTGCGGCGGCCTGGGGGCAGGGAGGTCGCCACTCCCAGGAGCCTAAGGGGCGGCAGCGGGCTGGCGGCCGGGGCGACGCGCTCGGGGGCCCTCGCGCGGGCAGACGCTGGAGTGTCCGCGTGGCCCGGCCCGCGAGGACGGGGCGCGCCGGGGGCCGCTAGACCCGGCCGCCTCCGACTCCCTCTGGGGCTGGGGACCTGGCGGGACAGGCACTGGGACTGCCAGGCTCGCGGGGCAAACGTCGCTCCGCCCGGGGCGCCCCACAGCCGCGCCGCCCCCCGCCCCGCCGCGGGCGGAGCCACGCGCCCAGGGCCCTCGCAGCCGGACACCCCGCGCGGCCGCGAGTCCTCCTCCCAGCCCCGCGGCTCCCCGCTACCCCAGGTCGGACGCCCGCGCCCACGGCACGCGGCTGAGGTGAAGCCGGGCCTTGACCCCCGCTGCTCTGCCTCCCCCTCCACCACATTCCCGCTCCGCTCCCCCCGCCGCGCCCGGGCTCGGGAGGCGGTGCCCGCTGAATCACCGTCACGTGGGTCCCGGGTGCGCAGAGGCGGACTGCGCAGAGGCGGGTAGCGCGCGGAGCCCGAGTGGAAAATTCCCGGAGACCTACTGAGGCTGCGCGCCGGAGGCCCCGCCCCTTCCCGCGCTCCCCACCACCGGCTGCGGCCCGCCCCGGCCCCGCCCCTGCGGAGGTTCCGCTGCGCGGTGCGCGCGCCCGCCCGCCGCTCGCCCCCGACCAGGGCCCCGCTTCCGCGCGGATCCGCAAACTGCGCGCGGCTGTGGCCTCCAGAGGGACGCGGGGCGGTGTCGTGGCGCCTCCGCGGCCGGGGCCCCGCAGCGCCTGTAGTTCGATGAGGGTGCTTCACGCTTCCTGGCCTCCCGCTTAGCGCCCTACCGGCCGCTCGGACAAAGCGCCGGCTGCCACTTCCTCACGCGCTTCCCCGCCAGAAAACCAGACAAGTTGTTTCCCATCCCAGAACGCCCCGCACTCGGTCTCCAGCAGGAGTGAAAAGTGTTCGGGGAGTGTGCTGACCTCGCCCACCCGGGTGACAAACGCCAGCACACCGACTCCATTGCAGTCAGGGGGCGTGCGGTGCGCGCGGCTCCCCCCAGCACGTGCGTCCGACGGCCTCCGGGGGTCCCTGGCGGGCGGGCGCCCTGCGGGACGCTCCCGTGGAGCTGGGTGGCGGCGCTGTTATCAGTCACCAGCTGCCAACACTTTCAGCCAAAACACTGGAGTTCTGCGTGAGTAATGATCCTAGAACTAAGCCCACATATTGAATTGAAACGGTTTCCATCCAAGAACCGGAATTTCAGGTTTGTTAATTTTAATAAATCCCTATTTGGTGTTTAAGCCCCAGGCAAAGAAAGATCCAGAAACTGAAGACCAGTGAATGTAAGTCCATTGTGGCCTTGCGTAAAATTCATTATTCAGTCACTGTCATTTCTCTTTGGACAAGAAAACAGAGAAACAAATATGATAACGGTATTTTAAAATCACCCTATTTTAGAAAATTGTAAGATTCTGAAATTTTTAATTTTCAAGAAAATATAGTATATTATTCGATAAGTTTGATAAGACATACAAATCTTTACTAAGTACATACACATCTTGTTTTCTAGCTTAATTCTTGATCCATAGTGTCACCTTGTCATGTCCTGAATGACAACCTATGTGTATGAGAACTCACATCTGTGATTCTGCTTTACATTCCACTTTGCAAGCCACTTACTGCTCATTAGCAAGTGTCCACTTACCCAGCAAAAGAACCGTGGCCCATGGTCAATACACCCTTCATCTGACACTGTTTTTGTTCATACTCACTAGCCTCACCCAGGAAAATGGACCATTGCAGGGTCACATGAAAAGACCAATGGGTAGATACCACAGAAAGATCCTAAGCCAAACCATTCCTTCCCCCTTTATCAGAGAAGAAATGAGAGACACAGTAGGAGTACTCTGGGAAGTTCTGCAGTCCAGACAGAATGGAAAATGTAGGTAAAACTAAGTCTTTTTGCATTTTTTTAAGGTTGTGTTTCTGTAGGCACTGTAATTTTTCTGGCTGAGAAATGAGGTGTATACTTACAAAACAATGCTTGCAAACATAGGGCTTTCCAACACAATGTTAATGCATGATTACATTACCTAATTCTAGCCAATGGGATCTAGATGCCTACAGCAGGACTTCTAGAAATGTCACCCTCACAGTACAAGTGACTCACAGAACTGACTCTTTTCACTGGATGTGGTCCTGTCTGCACATAACCTCTGGAACCACTGCAGCCCATGATGGAAGACATCTCCAGTGTGCGGAAGACACAGCACAGAGAAGGTGGTGAGCTTAGTCTTGGAGGAGATTATCAAGGCCGAGAATTAGCTCTAGGACTACCCTATCTATAGACTTCCTATTGTAAGAGATAGTAAGCACCATTATTTAAGCCCCTTTTAATTGCATATTGTGTTTTTTGAGATAAAAATTGTCTGCTGCTGTGGTAGCCAGCCTTCAGGATGGACTGCAGTGATCCTCCCCTCCTGGGATTTACATCTTTTTACAGTGGGGATATAATCAGGATTTGCCTTTGTGACTAATAGAATATGGCAGAAATATAAAGTATGGCTTCCAAGGCTGGTCTGTAAAGTTCTGCCTTGATCTCTCTTGGATTACTTGTTCTGGGATAAACTAGCTGCCATGTCATGAGGATACTCAATCAGCCTTGTGGAGAGGCCTTTTTGGACAGGAACCAACCGGCCAGCACCAACTTGCCAGCATGTGAGTGAGCAACCTGGGAAACATCCTCAGTCCCAGTCAGGCCATCTGATAACTACAGATCGAGCTGTCAGCGGACTGCAACCTCCTCAGAGACTCTAATCCAAGACATACAACCCGAACTGCTCTTAAATTTCTGGCTCACAGAAACTTTGAGACCTTCAGCCATAAGTTTTGGAATGATTTGTTACAGGGTAATTGCTACCTAACAGAATATCCTTCAATACCAGAAAAACATGCTAAAGTCACCAGGGTCCTCAGAGTTGAAACTATTGGTTTGGGCTTGGGAATTGTCTAACTTGGGAGTTTATCTAAAGATAAAATATAACCCTTCATTTGTTGAACACCATTCAAAAGGATAAGAGAAAAAAAGAGTAGAGCAAGGAATTTGTTGAGGAACCTGGAAGAGATTATATGGAAGTCCTTGGAATTTTGAAGGATGTGGTTTGAAGGTTGATGGTGGGGTGTGGGTTCACTGTATTTCTCCATATGCCTGTGTCCACCCTCAAATTTTGATAACACTGGACAAGAATGTTAGACTCTGTATGTAGCAAAAGGTCATATTAGGTAAAATGAAACCATAGAAACTAAGTCTTGAAATCAGTTCTCATGCTTATGGCTTACAGAAAATTAAGTTCAAGAAAAACCTGTCCTTTTCCACCACCAAGCCATTGCAGCAGACCTTCATTCAGTTTATTATGTGCTAGGCACTGAGTGATGAAGCTAAGTGTACTAATTCAACTAACACTTACTGAACTCTGTGTATCAGGCACTCGTCTAGACACTGAAGAGCCAACGAAAAGCAAAATAAAAGACTTTTTCCTTTTGGAGTTAACATTCCAGAAAGTTTAGGAGGGAAGATGCAGGAAGGGGAAGGGGCTCAAAAGCAAATAAATGATTAATGTTTTCAGATTATGAAAAAAAATGCAATAAAAATAATAGGACAATGAGAAAATAGGGAGAGATGCAAGAGCCAACTTTTGCTGAGATGGTTAAGGGTTTTTTTTGTTTGCTTGTTTTTTTGAGGAGGTGACATTTAGGCTGAGACCTAAGTGATAAGAAGGCAGCCACACAGTTTCTCATCACTTAGACAAGGGCACAACCAGGTAAAGCCATGGAGTATGGATTTTATTCTGACTGTAATCAGAACTCACTAGGGAGCTTTAAGTAAGGGGAATAACTTATCCCTTCAGGGAAGGGTTTTTATTTATGTTCTGAGAAGTTCCCCTCGGAATGCTGGGCATGGAGTAGACTGTGAGCGCCAAGAATGGCAGCCCAGAGATGAGTTAGACCGTCGCTTTTGCAGTGACCCAGGAGAGAGCAGTGGGAATGTCAGAAGTGGCAGAGCCCTGAATATACTTGAAGGCAGAGCCCTGAAGACTGGCTGATGGTTTGGATAGCTGAGGAAAAAGAGGGCTCAGGATGACCCCCTGATCTGGGTCCTGAGCTCCCGTGATAAGGGTGTTATTCTGAACTATAAAAATTAGGAGAGGAGCAGTTTTGCTAGGGAAGTGAAGAGTTCTGCTCTGGCCAGTGAGGAATGAGAGAGATGCCTTTTAGGCATATTAGATGATGTGTTTTTTCCTGGTCCTAGAGGAAATCAGCACTGCTTACTCCTGCATTTATTCATTCAACAAAAATGAATTATCAGGCATTGTTCCAGGTGCTGGAGCTAACAGTGATCAGAGCAGATTAAATTCCTGCTTCATGGAGCTTAACAAGTAAATAAATACAATGTAGGTAGTGATGGGTTCTATAAAGAAAAAAATCATTTAATTCATCCATATACTCAAAAAGTACCTTTTTTTTACAAGTGACTAGGCTGGGTGTGATTGGCCAGATTCTACCCCAAAAAGACAACAACATAAAATCTAGTACCTACACAGCACAAAAAGAAATGCTCCAAAAAAGATATTTATAAAGCACTAAGTTCAAAGTAGAATGAGATGAGTTTCAAATGGGAGCATATCATTCAAATAATGAAAGATGTGGTATTTAACCTTAAAGGAAAAATAAAATTTAGATATATGGCTATGAAAGGGAAGAAGAGGTATGAAGAACATTGCAAGCAGTGGAAACAGTTTGAATAGAGAATGGTTTGTGTTAACAACACTGAGCAATGCATTTTGGCAAAAGCATGGAGTTTATGGCTAAGTATCAAACTACACCAAAACTTAGCAGCTTGAAGCAACAAATATTTATCATCACTTATTTCTGTGGGTCAGGAACCCAGGTGGGGCTTAAGGTCCTCTCACCAAGGTATTAACTGGTGCTGCAGCCATCTCAAGGCTTCCAGGCTCACTCAGGAGACTGCAAGCAGGTCCCAGGGCCTTCCCGCTGATGCAGAGGCATCAGTCCCTCGCCCCGAGACCTCTCCATTGGCCAGTTTGCCAGATGGCAGCTGCTTTTCCTCAGGGCAAATGAGGGAGAGACCAAGCCAGAAGCCAGAGGTCTTCTTGTAACCTAATCTTAGATGGGACATGCCCTCACTTCTAGTAAATAGGAGCCCATCCCTAGGCCCAAACCATATGGGAGAGGGGATTACATATGGGCACAAGCACCAGGAGGTGGAATGTACCGTAGATTCTCCTTGGAAGCTGCCCATCACCAGCAACAACAGCGATACACTGGTGGAAACACGTACAGGCTAGGGCCCGATGAAGGAAAGCCCGAAGAACCGACCCCAAGAGTGAAGCTACTCAGTCAGAAAATGAGGGAGAAGCAAATTTAATGTTTAAGCCAACTTCCAGCAAATTGAAATGTTTATAAACAGAATTTTGAGGAGCATCTGAAGGACCAGCTGTTTAACAACAGTTTGGGAGGGTCAACTCCTATAGCCCCCCTGGGAAACAAAACCACTGTATTTTATCAGGTGGTAAAGGTCAGGTAATTCTTCAGAAGATTTTGTCTATCCTCACTAAAAACTTCCAACAGCGCATTCCTGAGAATCCGAAGTTGACAACTGGTATTTGTGATTACTTTCAGATACTAGTAGAATAGGTTTGCTCTCATTAGCTTTCAACATTCTTTGATCTCAACCCACAGTAAGGAGTACATTTTAAATCATAACTCAGAATATATACATGCATATTCATAATGAAAATCAAAGTTTTAAAGAATAGTACTTAGCATTAGTATACATGGCATATTTTTATTTTCTTCTGTTAAAGAAAAAAAGCTCATAGGAATACACTGAATTCATCCCTACCCACCACATGGTCCCATTCTGTAGTTTAATAAAACATCATTCTTTTAGAACATTAGCTTAGAAATGAGGCAAAACCGTAGCACTTGGGACCAACAGGCATTTGGTGGTAGTTTCCCAGAAACTGGACAAGGGCACTGTGTCCATGCATTCTGGCCCAGAGGCTACAGCCTAACCGAGAACACATCACACGCAGCTGGGAGCCAGGGCAGGCAGATGAGCTTCAGAAAGGCCTTGGAAAACACGGACTGGCGGCAGAAACACGCATTTCAGTACCTCCCCGTCTCCTTTGCCATACTGTTCAGGTTCTTACAGAGGTCGCAACAAGATTACAATCCTGCCTCCAGCGCGCGCGCGCGCACGCACGCTTGCCGTGACTTTTACAAATCTCTTGAGTGTTGTTGCAACACAAACCACCAAAAATTCCCGTGGACAAGAGATACAGTGAGTGTGGGACTTGTCAACCGAAGCCACCATCCTGAAGGCTTCCTGAAAAAGTGAGTTAAAACCTTTCGATTTTTATCAGACCGGATTTAAAGGGACGTGCAGGGCGCCCGAACCCCTGCGGCGGGTGCTCTCCGGACCAGAAGGGTTGCTCAGTGTTACCAGGGAGTGAATGTGCAAGAGAGATCCGTTTTTCATCCGACTGTGTGCTAAGCGCCAAACCTGCCTTCGGGGAGTTCCCCCCCCCGTCCCCGTGAGACAAGACTTCTGACCAGCGTGGACGTGGAGACCAGACAGCACAGCTTTAAACAGTCCCGCACCACGTGGTTTGGAAGCAGTACCTGCAAAGGGGAGGCGGAGGGGTCGGGCCGCGGGAGGCTTTCCGGGGCGCGGGGACTGAGCCCAGGGAGACGCCGAGGGGAAGTGGGCACTGAGGTGGGCAGGATGCGGCAGGCCGGCCTGGCGCAGCGGGAGAGGGGCGCACCTCCGAGCGGGCAATGCGGCCCTGGGCGTGTGCAGGCCGGACCCCTGCCGCGCGGAGGCAGAGGTGCCGCTTCCTCAGGCCAGGAAGGGCGGCGTGGTCACGGCCCCACAGCAGCACGGGCGGTGGGGGGGTGAGGGGGGCGTCATACGGTCATCCCCGCGTCCACCCCGAGCGCACCAAAAGCGTCCACGAAGGGCGCCGCCAGCCGGCCGGACCCCGCGGGGGGTGGGGGGCGGCTCCCCACGGAGGGCCCGAGACGGGGCGGTCGCGGGGACCGCGGGCTCAAGTTAGCGGGACGAACCCCGAGTAAATCCCGGCACCCAGCGTCGGCGGGGCGCGAGGCTGTGCCCCCGAAGCCCGAGGAGAAAACCGAGGCCAGGAGGCGGCCGCGAGCGCCGGGCCCCACCGGGCCCGCCGCCAGCCAGGGGCGCTCGGAGGGCCTCCGGGACCGGGCGTAGGGGCGGGCGGCGGGGCGGGGCGGCGGGGGCGGGGCGGGGAGGGGCGGCCGCACAAAGGGGAGGCCTGTGGCCCCGCCCGCTGGCGCGTCCCCCGGGCCGCCGCTATAAGTCGCTGCTGCCGGGCCGCCCCCGAGCCCCGCGCCGCGCGCCGCCAGGAGCACTTCTTCCCGCAGCGCCAGCCCGGCCGCGCGTCCCCGCCCGCTCGCCTTTCCCCGGACGCGTCGGGCGCCCGGCCCCTTCCTCACTACGAGCATTTCTTCTGCCTGTCGTCCCGTGCCTGTTTGTTTTCTTTGCGCGATCTGTGCAGAGAGAAGCCCGGGGGGCGTTGCGTGACGTTTCCGGGCACAGCACCGAGACCACCGAGGTAGCGCGCGGGGCGCGGCGAGGGGCGCTGGACGGGGCGGGGCCGGGGGGGCTGCGC